CTGCCACGTCACGCCCTGTGTGTCTGTATGTGTGTGTGTGTATGTATGTGTGTGAATGTATGTGTGTGTGTGTTTGCGGGCAGTACAGGTGCGGGCACTGATTTCCCGTGGGCTGTTTTTCCCCTGGAGCACCGCTCAGCGCCCAGCCGCCGCCAACGCACGCTCGTTGTGGGATATTCTCGGCCCCCGCCTCGCTCCGCCCTGCCAACGCCACACCAACGCCGCGCCCATCTGCGCGCCATAGCGGGGCTCATATAAAGCTAAACACCACTGGGCTCTCGAGCGTACAGTGCCAAACGCTTCTGTCTCGGACTGTACCGCCGCACACGTGTTCGCGTTGCTGCCACGGCCCCACGGTGTTCGCACAATGATAGGATCTACGCGACGGCTGTGACGGCCACCGTGACGGCCATTGTGACGAGTGACAGCGCGACAGGATGTTCCACCCCTTGTCCCTCGGTCCTCACAGCACCTGAATGCGCTGGTGATTTTTTGGACGGGCCGATGGCCGAACGCTTGATACACGGACAGGCAGACGGCCGAATGAAAGCTTGAATGAAAGCGGGACGTTACACTGTTATACCGGGAGTAAAAAAAAACGAAAATAAAACAATGTTGCCAAGTTTGGCCGGGTTCTGTGAACTCGCTCGCTGCCAATCGGCCGGCAGCCATCGGCAGCTCGTTGAACCTGCGACTCGGACGACGCCGGCTCCCCGAATTGAATAAACCGTCGCGCGTCTTTGCGAACAATGTCGGAAGTATCGTGTCCAATTCCTTTCGGCGTGCCATCGAGTTTACGATCAATAAACTTATCAATAGCAGTTTGGGCGTTTTATTGTTTCGGTTGGCAGCCCTGCCTGCGAGCCGTAGCTAGCCTCGGTGGCGGCCGTTCGCAGGGCCGCCAACTTAATGCGCAACACGTCGCCTTTCCCGCCGAAATATACGGCACTGAATTCCCTGTCCCAGATTTACCGAGTAAATCATACCGGAGCCGTCTCCGCACCACTGCGTCCAAGACTAAATATATAATAAAATATAATATTATATAATAATATATATTATATAATAAAATTAAAAAACACAGCAAAAACATTTTTTAAAGAAACTACAAGATTAAAAAAAAGATTGAAAATTGAAGATAAAGATGGAAAAAAAGATGGGTGCAAGTGGCCAACCGTAGGCCGCTGAAAATGCAAAGGGTTAACGACGTAAGCCTCCGTAATCGGCGTGCAATCCGCGGGGGATAAATCACTCGGCGTCTAATTACGGGACGTGGCGCAGCATGCTAAGTGGCAGCGTCGGGCTGTGACGTCGCATACAGTGTAGCCGATGAATATATTCCGTGTTTATTGTCTGGGCGGTAGGCCTGCCAGGCGCGTGCTCCGCGCGGGAAAACCAAAGTAGGTCGGAAGGAAGGAAGGAAGGAAAACGCGAGTGCGGCCTTGTCGAGGATTAAATGTGGTTCCCGTTCGCGTGTGCCGTTTTTGCCCGCCGGGTAATTTTTCCCGCGGCAATAACTTGTCCCTTGTTTTGTGGTGGCTGCTGCGCGCGGCGAGTGTGAGGTTAGGTTGCCTTGCACTGCACGACTCGGAGGCCGCCGCGTCCAGCCTCACATGTTTACGACTTATTACACTGACCACATGGAAGCGCGTCATAAAGACGCTTTACGAGAATCTTACTCGTCACCATGGCAACCGGGCCGTCGCCGTGGCGACGCGGCAACGCAATATGGCCGGGACAGTGTGGTCGCCAACCCAGGCTGGCAACAGGTAGGCAGACTCCGCCGCCATGGCAACACACTAGGCCTGGGTTTGGAAAGGCAAGCCTGCTGTCGTAGGTAATACCCTTGGCTGGCAACAGGTAGGCAGGTGTTGTCGCCATGGCCTCGCCATATGCCTGGGTTTGGCAAGGCAAGCCTGTGTGGTTGTAGGTAACCTCACGCTGGCAACAGGTGGGGCTTGTGCCGCGCCGCCAAACGCGAATTCAATTGCCTCCCCAAGAAGGTCGCGAAATTTGATGGAGAGACAAAACGGTTTACCGTGTTTCGCAGAGGGCGAACGCAAGAGAATTCCGCCATCCGACTTGAACCTTCACCGCATCATGAGCGGAAAAACTGGGGGGAAAGTTAAAATTGAAGCCTTTGTCTCCGAACATCTCGGGAAAAATTGCGCTGCCAAAACTAAGCCGGAGGCGGAGCCTTGATTGCACCCTTATCGGCCCAATCCCGTTTTGACCCACGGCGGAAAATTTAAATTTCATTTCCCGCTTTTCATCAGCGGCAAGGAACGCTCATCTCGGCGTGCGATTTTATCTTGCACTGCAATCTTGCCGAGCGCGGGAGAGAGATATCAGCGACCAATTTTAAAAAGCGCTATTTTTTTTAAAAAAAAAAGAAACGTTGAAACTCTGCGAAAGGCTTCTTGTTAGCCTTGACTGAGGCTATCTGCGGCAGAGTATCTTGAACAACATCGGCAGTGTAGCTTCCGGTATAAACTACCCCGTGGCTGCTTTCCCTTCGAATGGCAATACGAGGCTGGTTCGTAGAACGCTGCGTATCGGAATAGACGCCGGGAGGGCTGTAGAACGCGACACAAAAACAACAACAAAACTGAACAGCTTAGAAGAAGGAGGTGGATGAACGGAGCCCCAAAAGGGGACTGCGAAGAGGGCCTGCTGCACCACCGGAGAAAGGGACGTCCTCAGGACACGTCCCTCTCTCTCCCTCCTTCGCCTTCGGCTCGCGTGTCTCTCTTGCAGTATATAGGCTTTCCAGCCGACGATCCACGTTTTACGACAACAGTTTCTCCTCGTTTTATCTTAATTCGTTCCTTCCTCCTCCCCCGTGCATTATCACCCACCCGATATTTCGCTGAATTGGGTAGCGCCGAGTACAAAATACTCCCCGGCTTAGAGAGCGGGGCCGAGGCCCTGCCCAGGCACCGCAGTTTGTTTGGGGTTCGCCGGCGACTCCGTTCCACTTGGTGGTGACCTTAGGCCCCTCCCCACGGTGAGCCGCACTCACCCCCGCATATCATGGGACTCCTTTTCCCTCACCCCCTTTTCTGGTGGCGTCGCCATCACTCAGTGAGCTGAGAAGGGGTGCCAAAGTCGAGTACCGGCCTAGATTAGAGCTGAGCAAAGGCGAAGGGTTCTTAGTTTTTCCCTGGGTTAGGTCAATATAGGTTTAGATAAAAACACCTCAACAGCTACGCCTTTGTAAAAAATTCAAGAAACATGATTAATGTGTAGTCTTCTTCAGTTGACAAATGTTGTGCCAACAAGGGAAATTGAATTAAAGCACCCCTTCTCTGGCAGTGTCGTCACTCCGGCCAGCCCCCGGCGGTGTCTTCACCCGCTCGGCCCTGGTCGTCGCGACGCCCCCGGGGGTGTTCCTTGCAGTGGTGTGGAGAGTAGCCAGCACCCAGTGACCCGCGCACAGCGTAGCCGAGCGTGGCGTACTGGCCGCACTGGCCTCCAGGACCAGAGCAATGGCTCTCCAGGGGCCGCAGTCGGACAAGCTCTTACCCTTGCATTGGTCCGCGGGGAGGGGGGGAGGGGCGCAGGGGGAATTAGAGTCCTCCATCCGGTCAAGTGGTCGGCGGGCTGTTTACGGCGGAGGTTCCTTTACTGCAGAACCCAGCCAAATATTTAACGAGATGGCCTGAAAAATTGCGCGCCGCGTTGTTCTGCGCCATCGATTGCTTGTCCGCGGTCAGCTTGACCGACTTTGGGGGCCGTTACGTCGATGTCGTGGTTCTGCGGTTCACGAGTCCGCCGTGGCCTTGCCGCTGGTGGGATGGGTGTCGTCTGGTGGGGCGCAGGGGCGCTTTCGCGGAGAGGTTTGTTCGAGTTTGTTCCGTTGTTCGGGTTTGTTCAATGTCGTACACGGAAAGTGGCTCAAAGCGGATCGCGGTGCCGACGGGCTCATTAGCCCCCCATTGTTTCGCTTTTAACGGCATTAGCCCCGGAAAATGGCGGCCTTTTGCAATCAGGCAATCGGCAGGCAATCAAGACTCTGATTGATTCGCTTATAGAAAGTACACACCGCCCTAAAAGGGCGTTTCCTCCTTGCTTCGTCACGAATCTATTAACGAGCAAATATCGATGGGGGCGAACGCCGACGCCGGTACAAAGTCTGACATTTCTCACGCAAAATAATCAAAAAATCAATTAGGTCGCAGCTGTCTCTTTTTCCGGCTGAACTTTAGAAAAGTGGGAAAGACTAATAAGAATCAGTGACCTTTCAGCGTCTCCTTCCCTTCCTCCATCCCTCACGCCCATTTTAATTTTCTTTGGTGTTGCTGCACCATTGATTGCGCCCTAACAATTAATGAAAACAAACTTCTCGTTCGCACGCCCGCAAGGCCGCCTGCTTTTAGAGACAGTTCAGGTCTTTGCTTACGTGCAGCTGTCGTTGTTCTGACGAGCCCCCCTGTCCACCACTAATGAAGCGAGGTTGCTGCGCTAGAAAGGACACATTTCACGATGAAAAGCGTGCGGAAGGCACACACGAGAACGTGTGACTCCCCCGCCTGCCACCACTCATGACTGCACCTGTCGCTCGTTTGCCGCTTTAAGGCCCGTTGGACGACTGCGCCACCCTCGCGTGTTATCCGCCATGTCTATTAGGCCTGACGGCCTCGCATTAGGGGGACTATCAGGCTAATCAGGTGATCCAGTGTACACCGCCCACCCCTCTCCGTTGTCGGCCACCAGGACAGACCTCAAGGGACTTTTCCGCGGGAATGGTCCGGTCCAGCGCACGGTGTGCCTCGTTGATTGCACCACGTTGTCCGCGGCCCTCGTGCATCATGCATGATAGTTGGAGTCAATAAACATGGCTGCTGGTTGGCTGCTGCGGCGCTCCAGATAAAAGTACAGTGCGTCTCCACTGCGAGGGAACTCGCCGCCCTTGTGTCTTTTCCAAACAGACTCCTCGCTGACTCTTGTAAATGAGCTGCTTTTCCAAGGCCTTGACGGTGTCCTCTCTGTGATTCCAGGACCCTATGGCGAGCGCCGACATCAACGACAGCGACGCGGACCCCACCCCGCGCGACAACGGCGACAACAAGCACGGCACGCGGTGCGCCGGCGAGGTGGCGGCGCAGGCCTTCAACACGTTCTGCGGCGTCGGGGTGGCGTACCACGCCAGCATCGGAGGTGAGCGTCCTCCCTGATCGAGCTAGTTCTCACTTGCTCGACCCAGATCGGTTTCAAGGACCTCCAGATAATATTGCATCGTCAGGCGCTACCTCTTGATTCTTTTCTGCCGAAGACGGTTACCTTTATCAGCCTAGGCTGACAAGTAAACTTACTGACATGGCATTTTTTTCGTCCCAAGCCGCTTTCGTGGCAAGTATTTTGCAGCCACCGTGTCTGGATCTCGAGTATGATGGCTCACCTTGACTAATACCCGACCTCCTGGCTTACCGTTGGCTTTGGCCTCGCCTTTGGCTTCGCCTTTGGCTTCGCCTTTGGCTCGACGGCATCGACTTTACATCACTGTCGGCCCCCTTTGTGTTCGGCCTCGCTCATCCTTTCTGGACAAAAAGCTCCAGCCGCCACGGCCATGAAGGCCATGAAGGTGACTTATTGCCCTGCCTGTTGCCGCGCCCATGGCAGCCGCGGCGGCTCGCGGCACAACACAATGAGAGTGACGGAGACAGAGACCGCCAGATGGATGGACGGACACTTGCAGCGCGCAGCCAGCGCAGCGGATTTCGGCTGGAGCCGAATGGCGGTTCGGGGACGGCCGAAGTGCTTCGAACGACAGCCGAACTGGAAGCAGCCGGGTGGTTTTATTGCCGCTGCTTTGGCTGTTCCTTTATATTTCGGGGCTGTTGTTGCTTTTCATTCAACGTGCTCACCTGTTGCGGCGGACCAAGTACCCACTCGCCCCAGATGACGCCAATCTTCGGCTGCTGTGCCTCGTGCCTACCTGGACCGGGAGGGTTGAGTGGCTGGATTTCGTTCTCGGGATTCCCTGCTGTGCGCGCTATAAACCATGCCCACTGGTCTGTTGCTCTTCTTTTAGCTCAGACGAGGCCTGGTGCGAAAGCAAATGACTACCCTTCCGCCACCACGCGTCGACGTGTCCAGGCCGTTGCCTTCGCTTCAGAGGCGCGGCTTGAAGCGTGCACGACTGACTCCGTGTGTTTTGCCCACATGCCCACCGCGCGCAGGCGAGGTGAGGAGGGTCACCCAGCAAAGCCAAACTAATTAAGTTTCGGCTCAGGCCTCAGGTCTCGGGGCCGGTGCTGTACACACAGCATTCACGCGCCCGGCTCGGACGAGCAAACACTGATTCGCGTTTGGGAGGCTCGGGCCCCGAAGTTTTGTTTTTGAATCGGGAGGCTCGATGTTGCAAATGAGGTTCGCCTCAATTAGAGGTCTGAAGGGCGAGGCGAGGCGAGCCGGGGCGCGATGGCTGTTTGATGAGGCGCATGCGAGGAAGGAACCTTCAGCCTCGGCCTCCGCCGGAGCCAAACACATTTGCGGAGACTCGAGGGGAAAGTAGCGAGATTAACCGACAGCGCCTCTGCGTAAATTTGCTTCCGGGGCCTTGAGGGAATCAGTGGTTGGGCGAGGACCGCCAGAAATTTCGTTCCTGTACAGCAGCCGTGTGTAGGTCGTCAGCAGCGGCTCAGATGAAAAAAAAACTGTTGTCTCTTTATGACAATGTCAACGTCGTTTAAGAGTACATTTTTCGTCGTTCAAGAAAAAAAATATTCATGAGGATTTTGTCCAGGAGATACGAATGATTTTACAGTGTAAGCAACGCCCGTAGGAGTGGCTGGGACCAGCAAGGTGCGTTGAGCCAGCCTATAATTAAAATATCTGAAGCCTCTTTTTGTAGGAAACCTTTTTAGTTTTTGGTCCGCTTACGTCGAAACAACGTTTGAAGGCGGTGAATGCCTTCATTACGGGCTGCACTTGGATACTTCTCGCCGGCCAAATTGAGCTGCTACCGGTTGGCCCGCCCCCTTTTCTGGCCTTTAGGAGGGAAACCGCTGGACTGCCGGCCATTCATGGCGAAAATTAGAAACTCGGAGCGACAAACGGTGGGCCAGACAAAAAGGGAATGATATTGATTGAAGGGGCTGCTGTGAAAGCTCTTAGCAAATTGCGGATTAGGCGCTCGGCCCCCTTCCCCAGGCCGCGTTAATAAACAATTTGGCGTCCCGAAAGGAACCGCCCTCCGGAGAAGTGGCATGTCATGACAAAGCTCTCAAGGTTGCACGCTTGGCTCTAAAATCTAATTCAGAACTGAGATTGTTGCGAAGGCGACCCTCTTGTCTCTGGCATCTGGTCACATTTTTTGCATTCTTCTTCCAGCCCTCTTGTCGTAGCCTTGAGGTTACATGAGGTATAACCCGTTTTATAAAAAGTCAGCGAGTGCTTATTTCAGCGGTGGAACAAAACTGTTGACATCATAATTAAATTTTTAAGTAAAGTGGAAGGGAAAAAGTGACAAGGGACTGGACTGGGCTAGTTGCCGTGGTGTGCTGCTGGAGGGCTGCTAGAGGGCTGCTGGAGGGCTGCTGGAATCCTGGAAAGGGGATCAGGGGCGTGAGGGATGGTGGACATACATAACTCCGCAAACGGCGAATTCCGCGAGGAGGCCGTGTTCTATAATAACCGAAAGGACCGACGCGCCGACGAGACGGCAATGGGAAAAAGGGGAGGGGGATGAAATAAAAAAGGAAATGCTGGCAAAATCGCAGCTAGTATTTTTCCGCGAGACATTGGCGGGGAGTCAGAGCAGCAGTCTGGCGAACGTGACTCAGAGTGGATTTTTGGAATCATCCACCTAAAGGGGCACTCTTAATTTTCATTTTCATCACCTTTCTACGCCGCATTGTTTGGATCACGCACCTCAGTTTGAGACAAGGCGAAGTGGTCTCAATGCAGGCATGGTTTTAGATTCTCGCTGTCCTGAGTAGCGAACGCTTCGTGGGAGCAGGAAAGATGAATGGGAGCAAGAACGGCAGGAGAAAAGGGACAGGGTGGGCGGAGCGAATCAGTCGTTTGCCAATGGAACCTACGGTGTCTTTCCTGTCGCGATGGTATTATACGGCGTGTGTGTGTGTGTGTGTGTGTGTGTGTGTGTGTGTGTGTGTGCGTGCGTGTGCGTGTGACGCAGATCCCATTCCTTCTGTGGGCAGTAAGTGTACCCCCGGCAACCATTCTCAGAAGCAATAGGTCACGCAATCAGCGAAGCCATTAATATAGAAAGAGTCAGCCGATCGGGTGCAGGGGGGCAGGTTGAGCCGCGAAGGATGGGGGACCACCTCGCACGGCAAGTGAATCACATCAGATAAATTTAAAAATAATGACAAAATAAGAAAAATACAGCGAGAAGTCGTTGTAAATGCATTCAAATGAGGAAGGTCCTCGTCCGATTGCAGAAGCTAATTGGAAGCCGGGTTCGGTGAATCCGGATGTCCAGATTGGTCAGCGAACCGTGTGGCGCTGCGACCACGCGCTGCCGGAGAGAATCAAAGGTGACTTTTGTCCCTCGGAGCGCGCACGGCAATAAGCGTGCCATTTTGTTGATGTTTTTCATTTTTTTTCTTTTTTCGTCCGAGGGATGCAGAGCCCTTGCCTTCCAGCGTAGCCGCAGTCCCGCGCTCATCAGTCGCTCTACGTTCGGCGGGGCGAGACGGGGCTGCGACGCAACGAGAGTTGCTGCAGGATGAATACGTAAATTAGCGCGGAAGGCAAGTTGGGCCACCAGGATGTCTCCGTGTGTTCCCGGCCGCTTTGCGGTGGCGTGGCCCGGCACAGCGCTGCCACTGTTCTTCGCAAGGAATTTGCCGCCAGTTGGCCTCGCTGTCGGGACCAGTGTTGCCACACTAGTAGGCGAAACTTACCGAACCCTTTCCACACTAGTGCATTGTGGGAATTTTTAATCTCGAAGGTGGCAATGGGCAATCCTGCCACTTTGCGAACAGTTCTTGGCGGTGGCCGCTTTGTACCAAGAACGCGTTGTGCCTCTCCTGGTCGTCCACTCCACTGTGCCCGCCGGGTTGTTTGCGCAGTGGGTGCGTTCGTAACTGATGTTGTGTGTCTGTTCCCGGTGCAGTGGCGCGGACTGCGCGCACCCAAAACAACGAGTGCTTGTAAACCTAATCCGAAATGTTTTCTCTCTCACAGGCGTGCGCATGCTGGACGGCACGGTGAACGACGCGGTGGAGGCGGCGGCCCTGAGCGTCAACCCGTCGCACATCGACGTGTACTCGGCGTCCTGGGGCCCCGAGGACGACGGCAAGACGGTGGACGGCCCGGGCCCGCTCGCCAAGCGCGCCTTCCTGCAGGGCGTCTCCGCGGTGAGCTTCCCATGTTTACCTCAACTTAGGATCGTCGTCTGCAGTAACGCGTGCCGGGCTTCTTGTACTTCTGCATATTTTTACGGTGTGGATTCAAAGTGGCGGAAGTGAGTTTCGTCGTGGGACCTGAGAGTCCTGGGCGTCCCCCCTCCCCCCGCCCTGGTGGCGCGGCAGGTATCGCCTTCACGGTGAGGACCTCCCAGTGGCAGCGGCTCTCCGGGGGGCGGGACGGATGGCGCGAGTCATTGTGACAAATAACTTTCCGGTTTGAAGCCTTATTTCCTTCTTGTCTTCCCGCGGCGCCACGCCACCTTCCCGAACTGTCTTGGGGAGGCCTCCCCGCCCGCCACCGCGACGCACGTCCCGGGGGAACTCAAGTCCGGGACGTCGGGGGAGGAGGGGGAGGGCCGCGGAGTGGGTCGGCAGCGCTTGCTTTTCCGTCGGTGCCACCTAATTTTCCGACAGCCCTTTTCCTCCTCCCTCCGCGGTTTGATTTTATTCCCGCTTCTGCCCTCATTCCAGCACGGAGGCGTGGCGTGGCGTGCCTGGCACGCGTGGCAGCAGCTTTGGCACTGCCTCCGCTGCTTCGCCCCGTGCTCCGTAATCTATGGAACGTCACAAGGAGGGCTTCAGCCTGGGGGGGCTTCCCCGAGAGCTTCGTCACCACCGCGACGCCGCTCAACCCCTCCAGCGCGGCCGGGTTTTTGTTTTTATTTTGAGGGTTTTGTTTCGTCATGCCGTTTGCGGTGAGTGGAATACATTCACCGGTCGCGGTTTGTCTGCGTCTTGCAGCATGCTTCTAGCCGCCATGCAAACAAAAGAAAAACCAGATTTGAAAATTTCCTCACCCACGGCGGGCCCGTGGCGTTTGGCGTGTCGGGCAGCCTGGCAGCAGCTTTCTTTTGGTTTCCGCTGCTTCGCCGGGGGCTACCGAACCCCCTAGGAACGGCACCTTCGGGGCTTCAGCCTCGGCTTCCCGCAGAGCTTTAAACACCGGGCGACGTCCGCCCCAACCCCTTTCCAGCCCCGGGCCGGCTATGTTTTTTATTTTGGGGTTTTGTTTTCATGCCGTTTCCCGGTGAGGGACCAAACCATTCACAAGTCGCGGTTTGTCTGCGTCTTGAGCATGCCTGATAGCGCCATCAGAAAAAGAAAAAACCAACTTGAAAGTATTTGTCACCCACGGCTGGATGATAGCCGATGTTGGGAATTGAAGATGGGCCAGTACCTGGAAAGCAAGAAACCAGAATGAATTCTCTTGGATGATGCCGCTTTTCCTAGGAGGGCAACTGGATAATGCCCTTGTGCTACCCGCGCTTCCTCGAATCGCCCCCTGTTCGGGGGCTCCCACCTAAAGCACCTCCCCGTCTGCACGGCCGACGCTTCCCAGAATACCTGTCCGTCTGTCCGTCCGTCCGCCTGGCCGTGTGCCAATCCGGCTGCCTGTCCCGTCCGAGTTAGGAAACGGAAACTTTGTAACCTCGTTGGGCGCGCACTGCTCGCACTGCTTGGGCTGCGTCCGGACCCCCGGACGGGCGCCGCGTCACACCTGCCCGCCGACGAGCAGACGAGAGGGACTCGGGACGGAGGGAGAGAGATGCAGAGGCGGGAGGAAAACAGGGCGACGGCAGCGAAAGGAGACAGAATAAGGGACGCAGTGTGGAAAGGGAGCGGAGGGGGGGATAGTGCCGGTGGCCCCGTGATTAATAATTGTTTTCGGCCCGTCCCACAGTCCGGTTGGCTGGTGTTCTACATGCACATCGCCACGGAATGGAATCATAGCTAATTGTGTTTGCAAGCGATTCGACGCAGCCGGCCGAGCATAGGCCGAGCGCAGGCCGAGCGCAGGCCGAGGGCCGACCCGGCGGCCGGAGGGCGTGGCCCGTGGCGGGTCGGGCCGGAACTCGGAAACGGAGCGCTGTTTCTCTGTCCGATCGGATAAATTGGAATAATTATTGCCGGGCATGAATAATTTTGTTTCTGCTTTACGGTCGTGACAAATGATAAGCTCCGCGACCCGCGGTGCAATAATAACCGGTCGCTGTGCGTTTTGTTTTGCGTGCCGCTCTGAAACCCTTTTTGTGTTTTTCTTTCTGTTCGCAGGGTCGCAAAGGCAAGGGGTCCATCTTCGTGTGGGCTTCCGGCAACGGCGGACGCCACACCGACTCCTGCAACTGCGACGGCTACACCAACTCCATCTTCACGCTCAGCATTTCCAGCGCCACGCAGGGCGGGTGAGTGTCTCTCCTCTCTCTTGCTCTCTCTCTCTCTCCCTCCCCCTCAGGCAGCGCCCCCACTTCATCCACGCCCAGTTGATTTGGTGCATGCAGTCCGCCTCGCCTTTGTGATGACGTCATTTGCGTGCAAGGCCTCACGGCCCCACGGCCCCACGGCCTCCACGGCGTCCTCCAAGACGTCGTGCCCTCCCCTCCGTCATGCAGATGCCTCTTCTCCCCGCCGCTCCCGACGATGACACCGCGTTTTTGCATCCGACGAGACGCGAAAAAAGAAAGGACAAAGGCAATGCAACGCGAAACCGGGGACCTCGAAAGTGACCGTACTTGAACCCGCGCCTGTCATTAGACAACTGAAGTGGCACAAATGACAGGGCCGCTGTCTTCGGGTTTCATTTCGAAAAGCGAGCGAACGCGCGTGGATTGGAAGCGCTCTTTCGTCTCACTCCATCTTCCCTCCGGCACGGCGACGCTTGTAGGTGTGTCTCGTGTCACGGTGCAAAACAGCAATTATGCTAAGCGATTTTCCAAAAAAAAAAAAAAAACGGCTGAAAAAAAAGCATCTTGATTCATGTCGGAATCAACAAATTAACGTGGCGGGAATTTTTCTCCCCTCCGTTCCCAACATTTTTGCGCAGTGGACGGGAAGGGGAGAAGACGAGAGGCTGGCAGAGGCGTCTGGGTAGGCGGGCAACCTGACGCCTCCGTCCTTAAAGGTAGAACGAAAACGAGCGAGAGAGACAAAGACGGGCCGGCGGACGGGCGGACGGAGAAATAAGAGAGAGAGGGCAAATGGAGCGCGAGCCGTGGCACGGCTAAAGGGCAAGCACGACGCGGCGGAAAGATTCCGGGGGAGGGGTGGGGGTAAGGCGGCGGGAAGGTCACGTAATGAGTGACGAAATAAAAAGGCGCCAGGCTGGCCGGCCTGCTGGCACCCCACTGCCAGCCTGCTGGATAATGAGGCCTCTAAAGTCACTCGCGCCAGGTTGGCAGCGCGGCCAGGCCGGCCAGGTGACACCGAAAGCAATCAGAGCCAAGCCGTATTATTGTTGTCTCGCGTGGCTGTTTCCACGAGGGCCTACTTCAAGGCAGAAAGAAAAAAGGGTGGGGTTCGTGGGCTTGGGGTTAGTGGTATTGTTGAGAGTGCTGGGGTTGGTATGTTTAGTGGGTTTGGTAGGGTTGGTGGGGTTCGTAGGGTTGGTGGGGTTGATGGGATTAGTAGGGTTGGTAGGGTTGGTAGGGTTGGTAGGGATGGTAGGGTTGGTATGGTTGGTAGGGTTGGTAGGGATGGTAGGGTTGGTAGGGCTGGTAGGGTTGGTAGGGTTGGTAGGGTTGGTAGGGTTGATAGGGTTGGTAGGGTTGGTGGGATTGGTGGGGAAGTGGGGTTCCTGAGGTTGGTTGGGTTGTTGGCAGGGCTGGCCCCGGCAGGATGAGCAGTGAATGGAACAAATGCCCGCCTCGGCCGCTGCGCTGCCGCGCAACAACCTTTCTTCCCCTGCTTCGATTGTCTCGCAGGATAGCGCTGATGGATCGACCCCCGGCACTGTATGTCGGCATCATAACAAAGTGGCCAGAGATAGCCGGCCGAGTTGCCCCGTTCCCTGCAGCTGCCGTGGTGCTCGTCTTGCAGGGATTGCCTACCTGACCCCATCGTTCGCCGCAGCTGTTGCCGCGCTGGACTTGCCCGCCAGATTGCCTACCTTGGAGGCGCCGCGCAACGAGCTCGCTCGCCGCCCTCAGCCTTTTTTTGCTTCCACGCCCCTTCGTGGCGCGGGGCCCTCGCGTGACCGGCCGTCGGATTGCTGCGGCCGCGATGACGACATGACGAGGTGGGAAGGGGAGGGGGAGGGGCGCAGCGATCGGACGCCCAAACGGTCCAGCTGCTGGACAAGTAGGCCGAAATTCACAGGATCCGCTAGCCTTCCGGAAACCCAACCTAACTGCTAGGCAAAAAAAAATCGAAGCTCTTTTTGACTTTTTCCAGTACTTGGACACTGGAAGAAAATTTAAGACTGAGCCATGGCCACTATTTCAACGATATCTCAGAACGGCCCCAAAACGTACTGCACTTGCAGTGTGGGACGAGCGTTTCGCGTGACTCAAGCACCGCCTTCCTGTGATTCCCTTTTTCCCGTTCGGCACGGGGCGGGGCGGGGCGGGCTGATTTCTCCGTGGCGCACATTTTGCGCCGTCATCCCAGATGGATTCCCTCGTCTGCTCGATGATACAGTACACCGTCGTTTGGGATGCTCACTACAGCGGCGCGGCGCAAACTCCCTCCGAGGCCCCCGGGGGGCGCGCCGCGCGGGGCTGGAGAGGAGGGGGATATCGGTGACCCGATCTAAATTCACCGCCGGGCCCCTCTCTTTCGACGCTTGCCTTCCCCTCGTCATTCTTGTTCAGGTTCTCTCGCTTGTCTTCGCCGCCTTCTCCGCCGTTTTCGTCTCGGACTTGTCCTCAGCGCCTGTCATCGAGAGGGTAGGCAAGCCCGCCGTGCTGCGGCGGTCAAGTGTTGCCTACCTGGCAGGCGCCAAGGCACTGACCATCCGCGACCATTACTGGTCGGTCCCATTGGCCGTATCCGGTGTCACCATCGGGCGGTCACCATGGCAACGCCCAGTCACGTGATAGGTAACCGCGGCACGTTACCGCCACACTCCGTATCGTAGATGGCCGACGCGGACGTGGCCACTTCCAGTGCAGGGAACGTGCCCATGCAGCCCAAAGTTTTCCAGGAGAAATGTGGCCAACTCGGTTCTGTTGTTGTTGCAGGTACAAGCCGTGGTACTTGGAGGAGTGCTCGTCGACGCTCGCCACCACCTACAGCTCCGGCACGCCCGGCAGGGACAAGAGCGTCGCCACCGTGGACATGGACGGCCAGTTGCGGCCCGACCATCTGTGCACCAGCGAGCACACGGGTGAGTCGCGGGTTCGATTCCCGGTGCAGAACCCTGTTTTTTTTCTGGAGACTGACGGACTTGTTCGACAGGCACCTCGGCGTCCGCGCCGCTCGCGGCGGGCATCTGCGCGCTGGCCCTGGAGGCGAACCCCTCGCTGGGCTGGCGGGACATGCAGCACCTCGTGGTGCGGACTTCGCGCGCCGCGCCCCTGGAGCGCGAGGACGGATGGGTGCTCAACGGGGCCAAGCGGAAGGGTGAGTCCTGCCAAGTCGGCGCGGCGCACATTTCCAGGTGTTTGCGTTCGCTCGCAGTGCGCTGGCTCTATTGGGGGACTAGTCGGGCGACGGGTAAGCCGACTGGCTTTCCAGGGCCGACACGACCAACCTAACCTGTAATCCTTGACCTCGTTGATGTTAACTCGCCCCACCAATCCCCCCGGAGCCCGGCATCCTTGGCTCCGGCGGGTGGGGCAGGCGGGGCCGTCTGGCCTGGACATTGGCGGGGGCATTACTTTGCCAATCTGTCACATCATGTTTCAATAGACGACGCTGGGGGTGGGTCGACAAAAGAATGTCCCCCACCCCCGGCGCCGCCCGCGCCAATCCGCCGGACCCCTGCCGTGCGGGGGCACACCGCTGGAAGGAAAAGAGAAAATTTCCAAGCTCGCGTTTTCTTTGTCACGCAGAGTCCACTCTCATTGCGTCCTGACAATCCCCTCTGCATTCGCTCGCTTTTGTTGTGTTTGCGGTCCAATCTTCGCAACTCTGCGGACGCTTGCGCGCATTATTAGACGACCCGAATGCACAGAAAATTGTTCGACAGAGTGCGTGTGAGGCAATCCGCTCACTTGAAATTCAATCACTTTGGCGCCATTATTTCGCGACCGCATGGATACAGTCACTCGGATTGGCATACAAATTTATAGTCGGATCGGCAAAAGCGGGGAAACTTGTCAGTGGATGGGGCGGGCTGGCTCGGCAGTCGGCCTAAGCGGACCGCGCAGCAGAACGAGTTCGATATAGTGTCTGATGAGGTGAGCCTTCGCTTAACCAAGCTGGACATTTGCATTTCTGCCCGCGGCTATCTTCGTCTCTCTTGCACTGAAAGGGCTTCCGGCGTGGGCGCGAGAGAGACAGTGACGGCGTGGGTTGTCCGTTCGTTCGCGCCGAACAGACCCGAAAGAACGCTGCGGCGTTCCCTTGTTCTCCAAGTCGTGTCTGCGACATTCCGGGCCGACGGCCTGACGGCCCCTGCACTGTACTGCACTGTGGCGGCGAGGCGAGGGTGGCGCGCCCCGCGGCGCTCGCGGCAACTCGCGATTTGTTTCGTAAGCCCGAGCCCGGCCGGGCGGCTCCGGGGAATGTTCCCAAGTGTTTGCGAATCCGGCAGCGATTAGCGACGCGGGAAAAACCGGAAAAGCGGAGGGGGCAAAGTCAATTTCGTTGATGGTCGGAGGATAATAGCTGAAAGGGGAAAGAGAGAGACGGAGAGAGGGGGAAGAGAGTGCGCGGCCCCGGACCCCTATCCGATCCGAGTCCGGGCGTCCGGTTTCCGCGGCTCTTTTCAAGGCCGTGTCCCCTGTCATAGTGGGTGATCGGACAGGCGGACAGACAGGCAGACAGACAGACAGTCGGTCCGGCTGGACAACCCGCTGGAGCATTGTGGTCTGGGACTGCGCGATGTAGGGCGGAGGATCGCAGCTTCACTCAGCAGGCCTCGCCGTGGCCGCCCCCCTCGCCGCGCCCCCTTCACACCTCAGCCCCCTCCCTTTCGCCCTGCGAGTTCCCGACTCAGCTGTTCTCAACACTGTGCTGGCACTGGCTCGCCCCGCCCGGGCCGCGCGTCCGGGTCGTGCTCGAAGGCGGCCCGCTCGCTCGGCCCTGCGAGCTTCCTGGGACACATGTCCGAGGTGGCTGAGCGGGCCGGCGGGCTGAGCGGGCGGTTTTCATGTTTGATCTAGCGGTCATCCAAACATGGCAGGGACTTGGGCGGCGTCCCGGAGCGCGCTCAGCACCCCGTCGAACACAGCGCTAGGCACGGTGTGGAGTCCCAGTGAAGGCGTACTCCGGAACTGCGTATACACTGTCTGGGATAGGTTCTCCTCCACAGTGTACGCAGCGCCCACCCCCCGGGGGCCACCGCCAGCCACCGCCAGCCACCGCCAAGCACCTTCATCTCCGAGGCTGACGGCCGAGTGCGACACTACAGAGGCGACCGCAGGGCGAACCGGGACGAGGACAGTGTGCGTGCGAGGACACGAATTTATTCGGGGTCGTTAGGCAGGTAGACCTCTCTTTCTGTGCGGGTCCTGGGTGGGGTGGCTCGCCGCAGGTGGGCCCCGGCCACCCCGGCCACCCCTGGACACCCCTGGGCGGGTCGTGGCCGGGCCGAGGCCGAGCCGACCGCGGACGGGGGCCTCGGAAGTGCGCACAGAAGGGCGCTTATTCGCACACTCGGCATGTGGAGAGGAACCGCTTAATCTGCTTCACGTCACAGCCCGCACCGAGGCCCGCACACCGGCCACTGCATACCCGCACCGCCCGCCAGGACACTGTGGAAACATCTCTCTCTCTCTCTCTCTCTCTCTCTCTCTCTCTCTCTCTCTCTCTCTCTCTCTCTCTCTCTCACTCGTTCCAGGGCCCCGGCACACGCCTCCTGGAATGAAAATGGAGTCGACGAGGCCAAATTCATTCCCTCTCACTCGCGGGCTTTCGCGCGCCAGCATTCCATGACCCGGCAGCCAGCTCTTTCACCATCCCTTCACATGCGTTGCTTTAAATCAATCGCTATTGCCCCCCCTTTGTGTTTCAATTACATCAGCGCCATTCGGATTCGCGCCGTGTGCGAACGGTCTGTGTTTGTGTGTGTGTGTGTGAGGGGGGGGTTGTGTTTCTGGTGAACACAGTGCATGGGTGTATGTGCGTGAGAGGCAGTGAACGCATGCAGGGTGTACTACTTGAATGCATATGTATGGGTGTGTGTGTTTGTGTAAGTGTGTGAGAGAGAGACGTGGATTTCTGCAAGGCAGCCTCCTCTGTGTGTGCGACCGCCACTATTGTGTTACTTAGCGCAACCACATAAAAATCGATTCGAGTTTAAATGAACCCATTCTCTTTCCGGGCTCGTGCTGGCCTGGCCCGGCCGCCACCGCCAGAAGTCGTTGCGCCCCTCCGCCCCTCTCTCTCTCTCTCTCTCTCTCTCTCTCTCTCTCTCTCTCTCTCTCTCCGCCAACGCGTGCTGCTTATCTCGGCCCCAGCCGACAGGACGTGCCTTGCTTGCCCACTAACCAGGCAAGCAGTTCATTTTTGCAAGGAAAGACCCCGAAAGACCGCCTTGGCTCCCCCTCCCCTCCGGTGGTAGTTAGGCCCCCGAGGGTGCGGCCGGGCCCGGGCCACGCCTTGACATAACACTTGAATTGATCCACTTGGATGGCTGCTTGGCGCGCGTCGGGACTGCCCGTTAAGTGAAAGGACACCTGTGCGACTCGGCTCGTTCCACTGGAAGTGGCAGCCAGGCTGCGCGCTGCGCCGTCAAGCAGGGCGCGCTGTCCGCCACGCGGGCCCGCCGCCTCGCCCGATATGGCGGACCTGTCAAAGACGCGGTCCCCGGAGCACTGCACAGTGGGCCAGAAGACCGGTTGAGGGTCTAAATCCCAAACCGGTTTTGAGCTTCAGAGTCACCCAATCCGAGCTTGTGGCCCCTCCAATGGATTGCTCTCCGAACGAGGAATCCATTGGTGGGGTCACACGTTCGGTTCGAGCCCTGTTTATAGTGACTCTGGAGCTCAAAACGCTTCTGGAACTTTGGTCGCCTCCACAGGTCTTCTGGCCCACTGTGCAGCGTGGCTGGGTGAGACACTCGGTTTGCGAGGGGTACGCGACTCAAAACATTCCTTGATGCCTGGAAAACGTTTTAAAGCCGAACAGTAACAAAAAATTTTATGGCAGTCCCGGCAACTGCACCTCGCGAAAATCGTGGAAATAAAAATCCCTTGGGAAATCTGCCGAAGCAAGCGGAGAGGGGCAGACCCTGCAGATTCCTCTGCGCGGGGCGCGGCTCGGCATCTCGTCGACTTGTCGCCAGCAATGGGGCCACGCCCCGCCGTGCCACACATTGTGCGACGGACCTCATGTCTAATGCATCGCGGCATCTGCAACGCCATGCAACGCTATGCAACGCCATGCAACGCCATGCAACGCCACGCAGCACTGCCAACCCGACGGGCCAACGGGGCCAGGGATGCATAACGGGAATTCGTCGCCCCGCACCTGCAGACTGATGCCGAGAGTCGCTCTGTCCCTCTCGCACCCATACGGGACGCCCCATGAGTGCGAGAGAGACAGAGCGACGGCTCTCGGCATCCGTCCGCTGGGTCCGATTTCCCGTTCGAATTTTTGGAATGGCTTGTGCTTGATCGTGGAAACACTTGTCGTCTGTTCTCTCTGAAGTGCCGCTCACTCATTGATTCTGGGAACTGTTCCAACCACTACTTCATGCAGTCGATAGGTCACCTCTGGCCAGTCGGGTCGAAAAGTTCGTGACATTATTAGTTGATGCTGTTTGTCCCTTGCAATTCGCCGGTCACGGTTTCCGGGAATCGGCGGCCGAAACCTCAACTTCTCCGTTCTGGCTGCTGGCGCTGCCCAAAATCGATCTGGAAATGCGCGGGCTGTACCAGTGTACCGCCACGGTCGGCGAAATTGGCAAGGAGGCGGTGGTGGCGTCGGGTATGGTCAGGCTGAGTTGGGTTTGCATGTGTTTGGGTGGCTCCCTCCAGTGTACCGCAAGTCTGCCTCCAGTCCCGCCCGCTCCATGGGACCCCTGCACCCGCTCCGCTCTCGCAGCGTCTCGCAGTGGGGGAGGGTCGGGATTGCTTGACAGGCTGGGCTCGGTATCGCTGCCTTGTCCGTACCTTTGTCACGCCGCGATGTCTCTCCGTTCGATTTAACAAGCCTGAATGAGAGCGGGACGATGTCGGACGATGTCGGCAGCGCGATAAGCGGTATCGGGCCGATCTGCCTTACGGTGCAGGCGACGCCGGCAGCATGCCGTACTCGGCTTTCTGCTCGCTGTCGATCGCACTGCCTGCTGCTGGCACACTGCACACCACGGCGAGCCGCGGGCCGAATCGACCCGACAGTGTCTCCTTTCACGCTGATTCAGTTCGCTTTTTGTAGTTGCTTCAAAGAGCGGCTGGACTTTTTGCACGCCTTGTACTGATGTTTTCGTCTCAACATGAAAGACGAGTTACGACCGGGGATCTGAACCTCCCTCCTTCCACGTCGTGGGAAGGACTTCGGGAGGAGGCCAGTCTTCGAAGCCTCGCGGTTGACATTAATGGAAATCCCTTTCGACGAGTTGAGAGTTTTGTGGCTTCCCGATGTCTCCGCGGAGTTGGCCGATTTATTTCGTCTAGACAAGCCCTAATTAGATGCTGCTTAATAATCATGAGACTTGTAAAGCGAGCCGTACGATTTGCATGTTTGGCGCGAAGGAAGATATAAAGAAGGAGGCTCAGGTTAATTGCGGCAGGCAGGCCTTTTGGGCCGAACAGAAAGAAAGAGAGAGAGAGAGAGAGAGAGAGAGAGAGAGAGAGAGAGAGGAGGTAGCGGTGGGGCGCCTGCCAGGTAGGCAACCATCGGGCGTCGCATCTCGGCGGGCTTGCCTACCCTCTCCATGGCAGGCGCTGAGGCCTTTTTTTAAAAAATAATAGTCAAAAACTTTGACCAAAATTTTTTTTGAGTAAAGCACTAAATGATTTAAAAAAATAACATCCCACGAAATGAATTTAAGGCTTTGTTTTTTCTTGTTTGCCTCGCGGAAAGCCCGCCACAGATGCGTTGGTGACGAGTGAAAATCACGAGAGGGACAAATGCGGGGCACGGCGTTGTAATCCCGGCGGCCTGTACCGCGCTCGGCGAGGCTCGGCGCCGCGCCCAGCCCAACCGATGGAGTTTATATGGAAATGGATGCATTCGGCTTGTCCGGTGCGGCGGCGTGTACGGGATCGCCGAACATGCGGGGTTTAAATATCCACAGTTGTTGCCTGAATTAGTGAGCGGGGTGCGGCGGGGCGGGGTTGGGCGGAGCGGGGCGGCACGCTGTGGTCATGGAGTTGGCGGTCCAGGCTGCGGCCAAGTTGCACCGAGTTAAAAGTTGTTGTGTTGGTACGCGCCGGGCGCGCGACTTGCGTGGCTAACTGACTTCCTCACAGTGGCTGGGTTCATCCCGACGCTGCCTATAGGCTCGCGGCGCTCCGTGGGACTCTGTGGCACTCCATGCGTCCCGCTCGAGGTCACCTCGACCGCCATTCTGAACGCCAAGCGGTGACCCTGCAAGGCTCTCCGCCGTCCCTCCCCGGCGACCCAGGCGCGCCCGGGCCCTGGGCCCTGCTCCCCGGCCCCTCCCTGTCCTTCATTACCAACTTATTCGGCCCGCAGGTTGACCTGCCATTTGTTATGCTAATTGATCCACCTGTCTCCCTGAGCCACCGGCCCGCTCCGTCCACGGCGAGGGGCTGGGCGATGTGGGTGCGGAGCGCGGAGCGGATCCGCAGGGCCGCGCCGAGGCCACTGAGCGTCTGGAGGCTGGGGTCCGTTCAGGCGGGGGAGTGAGCCTGCTGGGCCAGGATGCTCGGTGGTAGTGTTGTTACCGTCCAGGTGCGGGTAGCGAGCGCCCCCGCGGCACCGACGATCAGCCCCTACACCATGCCACGCGTGGCGCGACTTGCGGAAAAGGGGGGGGGGGAGTCCGATGCGCGGCAAAGTTTACACCCGCTGCGCTTACAGTGGCGCGCAGCAACCCGTTCTGGAATACTTCCTGCGAGGGCATCGCTGCGGATTGAAAGAGGCCGTGCAGGCGCCCCGCCCCGCCCCGCACCCCGCCGAGCAAGCAAAGCCAGCCCAAGATGTGCGCGGACTTTATATATACGTCGTGGTGTCATTTCCGGGGCGGGGCGCGGGCGCGGTGCCAGCAGGCTGGTTTCGAACGACAGTGTGTCTCCCTCGCACTCGCCGGCCGTTGCGTGCGAGTGCGAGAGAGACAGTAGCGCACTGCCCGGAACCAGCCAGCAGGCCACCGCACGCGGCCTCGGTCAGACAGTGTCCCCAGGCATGGTCTCCAGCAGAGTGGACTGACTCCGAACGTCGCTTATTTCGTCGCTCTGTCTCTCTCGCACTCGTGGGGCGGGCCCTGCGGGTGCGAGAGAGACAGAGCGACCAGCCGACTCCTCGGAATCACTCGGCAGGGCGTCCCCTCGGCGGCCCGGGCAGTTTTCACTCCGCCCGAGAAGGGTTATGGTGGCGACGTGCCCCCGGTACGCCCTGGAACGCCCTGGAACGCCCTGGAACGCCCTGGAACGCCCTGGTGTCGACCTGGCGCAGGCTATCGCGACTTCTGCCTGATTGGAGGACTGCTGCGAACACCGGGCCGGCGTGGGCGAGGTCGTGGGCGGCCGACTGTCCTGTCCGCCTGCCGGTGCGAACGCCCGAACGCCCGAACGAACGCCCGAACGGTAACGAGAGAGGGGTGCCAAACTTTGCGGCCCGACTGTTTAAGGGTGGTGGCCCGGAAATATGATAGCACTTGAGTTGAGAACTCACTTATTCTGGTGAATGCTTCCTCCTCGTCCGACGTGGCGCGGGGCGGGGCGCGGCGGGGGCGGCCCCAGCGGGGCCCTCGGCCAGGCCGGACGAGTTTCACTTTCAGTGTACTATCGGTGGGGGGGAAGGGCGGCCGTCGTCGCGGGCGCGACCGCAGGAAGCAAAGCGCGACGTCGCGGGAATTGAAAATGGAAATTACTGGCTGCGCTGCACTGGAGGTCGCTTCACTTCAATTCGTGTTGTTTGTTTCTTTTCCGCAGTGTCGCACAAGTTCGGCTACGGCCTGATGGACGCGGCGGCCATGGTCACCATGGCGGAGACCTGGACCGCCGTGCCGCCGCAGCACATCTGCAAGAGCCAGGAGATGACGGAGGAACGGTAAGCCAACGTCTCGAGCAATGTTTTCAATGACCCACTTCTCTCGGGCGTGATCGCTGCTCTCAGTCGCACCGCTTCCAACATGGATGCAAACGAGAGAATCGGATGTCACACCAGAAGTTCCCTAATGCGAGTGGTCAAGGCCGCTGCTGCCGCTGAAACATGGGACCTGACTTTGTTTGTTTGTTTTCCAGGCCGATAGACGCTGCCAAGGGAGCGCTGCTGGAGATGCAAGTGGACGTGAACGGATGCAGGGGCACTGCGAATGAGGTGAGTGGGGCGAGGGAGGGGAGGAGGAGGGAGAGGGGGACGAGGGAGAGGGGGTGGGGGTGGCCGTTGCGTTCGCTTCTTGCCCGGCCACGCCACTGGCAGCCAATGGCCACTTCGCCCGTTCCGCTGCGTTACGGTGCACAAGTCGCCGCTAAAAAGCGACCTAACTTGCGCAAATTGTGGCGTAACTCGGCTAGATCCGCGATCGAGATACGCCGTGGCCGGGGGAAAAGGGGGGGGGGGTGCAACTCGGCCAGTGTGCAACACACACTCGGTCCGGGGCCTTCTTGGACGCCATATCCGCCGCTGGATCAATACTTATTGCGTTCACGAGTGTCATTTTTTTTGGTCACTCGTAGATGTGTGTGTGTGTGTGTGAGAGCGCGACACGAGCTTTCCATTCAATGTTTATGCCCCGGCACAGTCATTCGGCGCTGCGCAACTTTTCCCGTAAAGTGCGGCCAGAATTTCGGGTACTGACATGACGACGGAGTGCCTCTCGTGTAAACTTTCCCCTGATAATGTACCTCCGCCTCCCGTGCGCGGTCGCGTTTTATTTCGCAATTTTATGGCCCGTCTATTTGCGGTTCGGACGCACGAGTGGCGAGTTTTGTGACAAGGCGGCCGGCCCGGCCGGGCACAGCAGCGGGTTCTTCCCAGGGGTGCTTTTAGCTGTGCCAGGCACGCCACTGTAGGGCCGCCCCGTTCGTTCTAGCGGAGGTGCTGCACGGCGGAAAGGTCAAAAATGCCGGTAAACAAAAAAAAATATACTGAAGCGCTGCTGTTTATCACTGCGACGGCTGCGCGTTTGAATTTCCCGCGTTCCACACATTATCATCATTGCTTTTGTGAAATTTTTAGAGTAAATTTGGCAATTAGAGTCCGGCCAAGTCACGTACGTCACGGCCGGGCTTTTACCATCGCAACGGCTAGCCGCCGCGTGCTCCCACGGTGTAACGACCTCTCTCTGTCTCTCTTTTGTCTGTTGTTCTCTCTCTTTCTCTTCCGTCGCGACCATCGGAACCCCCGCCCGCCGCCCCCGCAACCCCGTCGCGTGTGCCAGTTGTCTGGCCGGGTTCGGGGGCGGCGTGGGGGGCGGCGGGGGCCCAGGGGCTGCACCTGAGCCCGGTGCGGCTCGGCTCGGCAATTTGCAATTATGTCAGAAGCCCATTACAAAAGTAGGTTGCAGCTCCACCCGCCGGGACCAACTTCTGAGTGCGTCGCGCGAAAACGACTTTCGCGCACAAGGCGCGGGCTAGGCGCGGGCTGCACGATTGCGGGCGAATCGACGAAACGGCAGAGGCTTTGTGTGGGGCGCCGCGGCCCCCGCAAGCGACCCCAAAGGGGCCCCCCAGGGGGCGTCTTCCTCAAGGCGGGGCCGCCGAGTGGGTCAAGATTTAAACGGCACCGCTAAGGACATAGCTCTCTGCAGCCTTAAATTTTGTGCTGCTCCGGAATCCGAACAAGACATACGCTGTTTTGTCCGCAAAACGACATTTCCTTTGTTTTCTCTTTTCGACCGTTTCCGGTCGGTTTGACCGTTGTGCCTAGATCCCAACCACCCGCCAGCCAACCACCTGCAGGCTGCGGCTCGGCCAGGGAGGCTGGAGGAGGCCGGGCTGGCGACACCCTGCACACTGTAACACCGCCACTGCCATAACTTAGCGGCAGGTAGGCCTTCGAGGAGGAAAGGGGCCTGCTGGCGGGCGCGCCGCCCCCGGGGGCCCACTGGGGGCCCACTTGTGCCCCACTGGAAGGGGAGGCGATGCCTCGCTGGGCCCCGGCCTGGCCGAGGGCCTGGCTCTGCCCGGCCCAGCCGGCCGAGAAGGCCTCTTGTTTCAAGAGCCAATCAAGCAATAACAGGCGCAAACAAAGGGGGGAAGACCTGTCTTATTGGCGGCTCTTTGTTATGTCGAGCGTGCGTGGCACTGCGCGCTTCCTTTGACGGCCATACCGCGCCAGTTCATCGAGGCTCCTTGGGAGGCCACCGCCCGCCGTTTCCACTCCGATGAGAAATCAATACTTCGAGCGTCTTTTGACGGTTATTAAAATCAGCTTGTTGACATTAAACGGCTTTTTTTTTTTTTTGAAAAATTGCGTCAGGCATGCGTGTGTCAGTCGATGCCATGCCGTGGGCTCAGGGAAGGGCTTCGGCCCTGCATACTGATTCCGAGAGTTGCTCTGTCTCTCTCGCACCTAAAGGGGGCGCTCATGAGTGCGAGAGAGACAGAGCGACCTGTCTCGGAATCAGTCTGCTGCGGCTCGGTCGCGCGCCCTTTCCCGCCTTCCTCTTTTCAACCCGCACTGCAAAAGAGGAGGAGGAGGGGGCAAAAAGAAGTGCAAATCTTAATGGCTATGACACCGTGGACAAAGTGCTTTCACGGAAGGAAGGAGTATGTAAGGGGATGGAGGAGGAAAGAGAGAGATGATGATGGACCGACGAGACGGACTGGGGGTGGGGGGGGGGGGCGTCAAACGGTGGCGGGGTGTGGCTTCTTGTCGACAGCGCCGCGCCGGGCTGTGCCCCGTGGCGCCGTGGGTCGTGGCGAGGAGGCTTCATTTTAATTTCCAAGGCAAAAAGATAAAGCGGTCCAGGACAGCGACTCGGCTCCCGTCTTCCCTGCTGCTTCGGAGCCTCCTCCAAGCTGTGCGGGAGGTGAAAAAAAAATAAAAGAATGCTGAGGTCCAACTTAAACGTTTTGTAGGTTCAGGCCCTGCTAGACTGCTCGTGTTCCGCGAGATGGCGGAATCGGTTGAGCATTTTGTCCGCGGGGCCCTTTCGAATTGGAGTTTGACAAAACGGAGAACAAGTTGTGGTTGCCCGCTCCGCGCTCCGCCCGCGCTACGTCCGCCAAGCGATTTTCCCAAACAACTCTTCTTCCTCTTGCCGCTCCATTTTCATCCCTCTTCTTTCCCCGTCGCTGCGCCCCCTTCGGTCCCCACCTCACCCGCTGCAGCTTAGCTTCCGGCCCTGCATCTTGATTGTGTAAAACCCCAAATTGCGTTTTGTCCTCGAAAATTCCGGCGGCGGCGTGGCGGCACCGCGAAGCCGGGGGAGGGGCGGGTTTCTCTGTCTCTCTCGCACTCACGAGGCGTCCCGCAGGGGTGCGAGAGAGATGGAGCGACTTCAAAACCCGTTCGTGACGACGACGCGCGAGCTAAAGCTGTCCGGTGCCCAGGCCTACGACTCCGGTGGCCCCCACCCCTTTTCGGTTGTTTTCCTGTTCCGCCAAGACTGTCCGCGCAACAGACGCCGCTGGAGCCGTTTTAGGGAAGGGAGGGGAAGGAAGACCCGCCTCGCCGTGAAAAACTCTTGCCGGAGACGCTTCCAGGTTAATTACGCCCTGTTCCGGCGCGGCGCGGCGCGGCCCCGGATACCGGAAGCACGCTTTGTCACCGCATCCGGGGTGGACAGACTTCGCGTGTGAAACGGAGCCACGCGGCGCCTCGCGGAATCTGGGCCGGAAGGCAGCTGGTACTCTTTAAAACGAGTCTCGAATCGAACACGGAATAGCACAGTGGGCAAGAAGACCGGTGACGGCGGTCAAAATTCCGGACGCGTTTCGAGCTCCAGAGTCGCTGGGTCACACGTTCTGTTCGAATCCCATTTAACGACTCTGGAGCTCAAAACGCGTCTTGAGTTTTGGCCGCCGTACGTCACCGGTTCTCTTGCAGTGGCCGGTCGGCGGACAGTCCCACGACGCGGTCCCGGATGGGCTCGGGGATGCCGATTATTCCCCGAAGAGATCAACGTCGCCGTGTTTGGGGTCGGCCCGCCGAGTTGGACTATCATTTACAATCACGAAGTGGCCTTGTCGGGATGCAGTTCGCAGTGTGTCCCCAGGGCGCGTCCCCGGGGGCGTCCTGCTCTGCAGCGCGGCTAGGGTTGCCGACCGGCACTGCGGCTTGCGGCTGCTTGCGGTCGCCGCGGCTGCAGGTGAACAGCGCGGAGCAGCGCGCCGGGTGGCAACTGTAGGGTAGGGTTGACGTCCGACCCTGAATGGAGCGGGAACGGGGGGTGCGACGCACAACTTCGGCCGACCACAAGGGCACAATGTATTCACCCCGGAGGCGCGGCTGGCCGGCCCGACCAGGCAGCCAGGCAGGCAGCCCGAGCTGGCAGGCAGCCCGCTGCCTTTCTGTGATGTATACAGTAGTTTAGTTGGAGCGTGCGAAAGCCTAAAGGTGGTCACTGTGCCGGGGTCAAATGTCGCCGTGGACGTGCGTGTGTGTGTGAGTTTGTGTATGAAAGTAAAGTAAATCTCAGCGGAAGTCGGTGGGCGTCCCGGTGGCGGCCTTGGGGCTGAGGCCGAGACTGTCAAACAATGGCTCTGTGTGGGTTAAAACAATACCGCCATTGTCTGTTCAAAATGGTGCTGGGGGGTATTGAACCCGAGACCACTACGTCGTCCTCCTGGCAGTCCTCCATTATCGCACACGGGGCGGAAAGGGACTGGCGTCCCCCTCCTCTGTCCGTCTCCAGCAGTCTCGACGGTCTCGACCCGCCGGGGCCGGGCTTCGAATCCGGTCTCGAGATATGCGGCAATTGCAGGTTGATTAATGTCTGTCTGTCTGTCTGTCCGCTCGCCGCAGATCCGGCACCTGGAGCATGTGCAGGCGCGCGTGACGCTGCGGTACTCGCCGCGCGGCGCGCTGCGCATCACGCTCACGTCCCCGATGGGCACCACGTCGGTGCTGCTCACGGAGCGGCCGCTCGACACCGAGTCCTCCAACCTGGACGACTGGGCCTTCCTGTCGGTGCACTTCTGGGGAGAGCGCGCCGACGGCCGCTGGACGCTGCGCGTGTCCAACCAGGGCAAGGAGGCCGCCAAGCAGAACGGTGAGTGGCACTTGCAGTGGACACGACGAGGTCGAGGACGACGATGACGATGAAGTCGAACAGTCATCGGCGGCGGCGGCGGTTCAACACGAAACTCATGTTCTTTTCCTGTGGTGTTCCAGGCGTCGTCAAGAAGTGGCAGCTGGTGCTGTACGGCACGGCCACGGACCCGCTCTACACGTCGTCCAACAGCACGGAGGCCGGCGCTGGCGGCGCGGGCGGGCTGTCCGTCGTAGAGCTGGTGCCACTCGACGGCGGTGGCGGCGCGGCGGACGCCGGCTACCACGTCGGCGACAAGCCCGCCCCGCCCCTGCCCGCCTCCATGCGACCCCTCATCCTGCACGACTGCGACCACGAGTGCCTGGAGTCGGCGGGCTGCTACGGCAAGGGACCCACCGCGTGCCTCGCGTGCCGCCACTACAAGCTGGACAAGTGAGTGTCGAAAACCGGTAGCAAAACGAGGTGGGGGTATGAAAGCAGGAATGTGAGCACTCAGGTGAAGTCCGAATCAAAGCAACGGGTTTTCTTCCCGGCCTAGCGGGGGCGTCGTCCGCCGAGTCCCTAGCTGTTTATCGGAGTATTGAATGGGAGTCCTTATCTGCATAACTCGATATCTGGCTCATCTCACTGTCGCCTCGACCGGCGCGGAGGCGACGCCCCAAGTTCCGAAGCACCAAAGCACGGAGGCGCTGCCCCGCCCGGGCCGTCCGGCCAGCAACACCGGTCGGTTCGGTTCCATTATGGCCAGGAAGCAGACACCAGATCGGTAATAAATGATGAGGAGGACGAGGGACTGACTTATCGAGAACGACAGGACGTAAAGTTTTATTGGACGAGTCGAGTGGAGACGGGGCGGGCGGCTCCATGATCGACACCCTCCAGTGAATCCCCCCCCCCCCTTTCCCCCTTTTTCCGGTGCAGCGACGACACGGACCGCCATACGAATCGCAATAATTATTTTACGGCGCGTGGCCGAGCTTGCCGCGGCCAATCTGAAAAGCGATATGAAACAGCACACGCGAAGTGGCGGCGAAGCAGGACAATAAGAATTCATACCGTGCCGCGGGGATAAACCACCGCGCTATCCCCCTCTCTCTCGCACCCCCGCGGGGCCCCGCCACTGGCGGCGCGACCCCCCTCCCCCTCGAGCAACTACCGCCACCGACTCGGAACTCTAAAAGTAGATAACTGCATGCAGATTAACGCTACGGACGTTTATGGCATCGGAATCAGCAAGTTCAACGAACTTGTGTGCCAAGATATGCCCCTACGTGTTGTGGTCGTGCTCGCGGGCCGCGGGTTCGAATACCGCCGGCGGCACAGTCGTTTTTTTTTCTGGCTCTTCTTTTACAAACCTTTTGGGCGCGGGGGAAAAATGTAGTAGGTTTTCTCCTCCGAGTGGGCCGGCCTGCGGGCTGCCTTGTAATTTGGGGGCAGCCTTTCCCCTTCTTTCTCCTTTTCCTTTACGATTGTGATTCTGAACGTCACTTCACGGCCGGATCGCGTGCGGCGCGCGCGCATTGCATCGCACCAATTTCCAGGGGATATTTCGACCGCGCGCTGCGGATTTCCCGTCAGTGGTGTTGTGATGGTCTTTCGTCTCGAAAACGCGGAGCGAAACCCTTTCGCTTTCGTTATTTCTTTATTTCCGCCGCCCTCGGCGAAAGGAAGGGCATCCGACCGGATCGGAAGAACCGGTGACGAAAATAACCGACGCGTTTTCGTGTCCGCGCTGCGTTTGCCTGCGATGCCGAGCGGGGCTAGTCCTTTTCGCTCCGCACAGTGGGCCAGAAGACCGGTGGAGGCGGCCGAAACTCTAGACGCGTTTTGAGCTCCAGAGTCGCTAAATGGGACTCGAACGGGACGTGTGACCCCACCAATGGACTGCTCTCCGAACGAGGAATCCATCGGTGGGGTCACACGTTTGGTTCGGGTCCTGGTTAACGACTCTGGAGCTCAAAACACGTCTTGGGTTTTGGCCGCCCCCGCCGGTCTTCTGGCCCACTGTGCTCCGCCCGCCTCGGCCTCGCCTCCCTGACCACCGTACTACTGTACACTGTGGGACGTGCGTGCCGGCGCACCATCCACTCCAAAGAGGATTGCCGTTTTGAGCTCTTTGCGAAATTGTTAAGTAGGCCCCATGTGCGATATTAAGATATTATTATTCAGTGGGCTGTGGGGCTGTGGGGGCGGGGTGGGGGTGGGGGTGGGGGGCGTCGCCGTGCCACGCCGGGGACCGGGTCGGCCCGCAGAGGTACTAATTTGGAGCCGGAATGGTGGCCAGGCAGCGCCATGCAGGAGGGACACACTGCATGCCACGGCCAAAAGCTTCGCAGCTGCTTTAGAGTGAGAGGAAGAAATTCACGCTTCTTTATTGTGTCTTTTTCCCCAAACCTGATCCAAAAATTAATTTTTGAAAAACGTTTAATTTTTTTCAAAATTTACTTAAAAACTAACAAATTATTGTCCGATATGAAACGAATCAAAAATTTGAAATTGTTAAATCTAAAGCTTTCCAAAAATTATTCAAATTTCAAAAATAAAATTCATGAAAAGAAATTACACGTTTTACTTTAAAAGAAACTATTTTTCTTTCCGGAACCGATTGGACCCGACGCCCGACGTCCCCAAATTTGCACAGCGCAACACTGATTTGATTGGTGGTCGTGCTGCGTGCGCTGCGTGCCGGTGGCGGGACAGGCGGGCTTGTCGCGCAGCCTTTCCCTTGGACCCCTCTTTGGCGAGCAAAGAAAATGAGAAACCCGGGAGTGGAGGACGCACGCCGCTCGTTCGCCTCTCCTTAGAGGCGGGCAAGGGCAGCTTTGGCGCCGCGGAGGAGTCGGCGCCGCGGCCTCGCTGGAAGGGCGTATCTCTGCGGACGGAGGGTGGCGGTTGCGTGGTCTCTCTCTCTCTCTCTCTCTCTCTCTCTCTCTCTCTCTCTCTCTCTCTCTCTGAAGCAGCCCGCTCGCTGACCCGGCCTGGCCGCGGTGGCACCATTTCGTATCGGTTTCACCATGGTTCAGTTCGACCACGGCGGCGCCTGCACCCGATACTCCAATTGTTGTTCGCCTGAAAGCCCCGCCTGCTCTCTCTCTCTCTCTCTCTCTCTCTCTCTCTCTCTCTCTCTCTCTCTCTCTCTCTCTCGCACCGATGCGTCCGGCCGGTTGTGAGTGAAGTGAGTGAGCGAGCGAGAGTGCGAGGGAGAAAGAGACGAAGATGGCGGCGGTGCAGTGGCTAGCAGTGGAGGGGCCGGCCCGCCGTGATTGGCACGGGGCACGCAAATGATACACTACACCACCGGCAGGCCGCCCTTCACGCCTCGGGGCCCGGAGCAGAGGGCGTGGCGCGGCGTGGCGTGGCGTGGCGTGGCGTGGCGTGGCGCGGCGCGGGGCTAAGGATCCATTTTCGGCTCGGGGTAATTCCACCCCCCCGGAATGACCGGGTGGTAATGTAATGTTGCTGCGTCTGCTTAACGGACATTTCTCGGGCGAGCGCGGCGTGCGGCATGTCAGCGGAAATTGAACAGCAAACTAAAGTGCCAAAAAAAACGAAAACAAAAGAGGTTTTTTTTTTAGAAAAACCAACCGGTGTCACATTCTGTTCGCTTCACAAAAAAAATATTCTCAAGTGAGATTTACATTTAATCTCACCGAACATTTAAAAAAAAATTACCCCTATTTCGTTTTGTTTCGGTACGGTGTAAGATGGCCTGTTGCCTTTGCAGTGTGTGTATCGGGTGAAGCCGATGAAATAGCCACTCGTGCATTGAACCTGGCCGGAGCTTCGGCCGCTTCGCCACCCACACAGACAGCGGTCTAAGTGGTCCCCGTGCAGCCATTGGTCCGTCCCCCACCCCCTCGCCGGTCCGTGCCTTTGTCCCACACATCATTCAGCCGACTCCATTTACATCAGCTGCTCGACGCGTTGGACGCCCTCGATCACCCTCTAAAGAGAAAAGAGAGAGAGAGAGGGGGGGGAGGCTTCATAAAACTAAAGGTATTACTCGCGATGAGCAATTGTGGGATTTATCGGTGGAGGCGTGGATGATGGCAGCGGGAGATGGAATTACGCGATGATCGCTGTGACGACGCCGTTCCCTCTTAACAACGGAAGGCTGGAGGCACACTGCAAAAAAGTAAAAAGAAAATCTTTGAACCAAGATAGTCTACTTCTACTTGTGTGTGGTACGCTTGTGGAGGAAAACCCGGACGCCGGAGAAAGCAACGGCGCTGGAGTCGATGGTGCTCCAGCCCTAATGGGTCCCACCCCACTTTTCTGGCAGTGTCGGATCACCTGGCCGGCCGGCCGAGGGCTGGAAAAAGGGGGGGGGCGAGGGCCTGCGGCGAGGCCCCAGGCCCCGGGCCTAGGGTTGAAAATGCCCGGAAAGTTTCCGGAAACATTGGAAAAAAACAGTGTTTTTTTCCGTTTTTTTCCCGGCCGCGGAAAAATTGGAAAGATCAGCCTGAAAAGTAGGCAAAAGTCGGGCATTTCGCCTGAAGTAGGCTAAAGCATACCTTTAACCCTACTGTGAACACGATTCTCAGTGCCTCACTACGTGACCCTGATAATGACTCCTTCTCGTGCGTTTTTGAGCTTGCTGTGTGTTAATCTCGGGTTGCCAGTATAGGTAAAGGTTAGAAAATGCTCAAACGTGCGTAGGTTTCATGTTCATGGCTTAAAAACTAATTTTTCCTATTTTTCCTTTTTTTCCAAATTTTCTGGGTTTTTTTCCAACTTTTCCGGTTTTTTTCCGACCCTTTGAAAGTTTCCGGAAAATTTGCATCTCTACCCGGGCCCCGCCGCTGAAAGGCGAGGCAGCACCCCGAGGCCGAGGCCGAGGCCGAGGCCGGGGTGGGGCCCAGGCCGAGGCCCGGGCCGGGCCGGGCGGCGCAGAGACAGCCCCAGGCAGCCCCAGGGCTGCAGTGCACAGCGCGGTGCCGAGTTTCGTGATACGCGATACCCCTGCCTGCCTGCGCCTGCCCGCCTGCCTGGCCCGGTGGGCGCTCTGCCAATAATATATTTCGTTTCGGCGCGGGGGAGAGACAGAGAGGTGGGTGACTGAGTGTGTGCGAGCAGGACGACGATGGTCGCCACGCGACGCGGCTAAGGTTTCAGCAACACTTCGCTTGCACCGCGCCGAGCCGGCCTGCTCCGCTGGGGCCCGCCTGCCTGCGGCTCCGTGGGGACTGTTTCACCAAGAGGGTCGCCCCGCCCCGCCCCGCCCCGCCCCGCCCCCCCCGCCCCGCCCCGCCCCGCCCGCCAGGCACGTCCCTCCGCGGCAAACCGCGACGCCCCCGCGGTACACGGCGCCACACTGCAAAGCCTCGAGGAAAAGGACGGCGACACCGTATTCACGGTGTGGCGGCCAGCGGACTGCACCGTGCTCGTCGCTCTGTCTCTCTCGCACCTGTACGGAACACCCCACGAGTGCGAGAGGGACAGAGCGACGAGTCTCGGAATCAGAGCGCAGGCATCACTACTTGATTGGAGGCGGGTGCTGCGCGTTGCGCCGACAACTTGTCTGCCTGAGTTGCTGATGAAGCGTGATGAAGGTGTGCAGAGGAACCCGAGGAACCGTCCTGCTGAGTGTGGGCTGGGCGAGCGGACGGGGCCCTAGCCGGGCAGGCAGACGGACGGACAGACAGACAAACAGTCAGACTGGAGGAGAAACCTGCACCTACCGCTTCACTGCGCAGAGAGTAATGCTGCCCATGCCCTTGAACACGTTAGCACTGTGTGTGTGAGTGCGCGCGCGGGTGTATGTATGTGTGTGTGTGTATGTATGTATGAATGCCCCCGTTGTTGCGTCCAAGTGCATCCGACTGCACGCAACCAATCAGCGGCCGGTTCGTTCTCCGTTCCGCCAGCGCCACGTCAACGAGGGCCAATCAGAGCTCCCCGTCGTCCTCCTCCCGCAGCCGCTGCACGCCATGCACTCGACGCACGCCGCCGTCCTCGTCGTCTGCCTGCCGCGAGGCGCACACAACGCGACGAGGAATCGAGACTCGCAAACACAAAGGGAAACTCCAAGTCAATCAGCGAGCCAGCCGTGGAGGCTCTAGACACCGCCGAGCGCCGCCGAGTGCAGTCCTGTGTACTTCTTCTTTTTTCTGGGGACGGCGGGTGGGGGTTGGGGGGCTGAAACTGCTCCCGTGTCGCTCCGACGCAGGCGGGGAACACAGGCAGCGAAGATCAAAAGTGCAATCGGCATGTGTGCGCTCGCTGCCGCTGCCTCTCTCTCTCTCTCTCTCTCTCTCTCTCTCTCTCTCTCTCTCTCTCTCTCTCTCTCTCTCTCTCTCTCTCTCTCCCTCCGCGTGCGGCAGTCGGAGGGCGTGCAGTGCAGTGTAAGACACCTCGACGGGGCCCTTGCCAAGGGCGAGCCGAGGGCTGTAGGGCTGTCCTGCTGACGGCGAAACCTCCCTTCGGCCGGCCGTCCACCGGCCGAGCGATTCAGAGCAGTCCTTTCGTCGCTCTGTCTCTCTCGCACTCATGGCGCTCTCCGTAAGGGTGCGAGAGAGACAGCCGTAACCTTCCGCCTCACCTCCACCCCCTTCCTTTACTTGCCCAAAGACTTTCCCCTCCAAGAAAAATCCCGGCTTTCCAAATTCCACCGTGCTGCATTTAATGTAAGCCGAATAACCATTTGACTAACCACATCGTGTAAAAACTCAGATGTCCGCGTGAAAAGATAATTTTTTCCTCACTGCTTACGGCTTACGGCCGGCCGCTCGCTCTCGTCCTTTCTTCCGTTCCGACTTAAAGACTGCCGCCCCTTAATTTCACAAACTTTATAATCCGCCGGGGTCTTTCCGCTCCCTTCCCCAACATGCATTATGAAAAGAAAAAGGCGTTCGCACTGGCCTCGCCGTCGGGGCAATGTGGGACAATGTGTGCCTTTTCGGCCGGGTCGTGCTCGCCGAGGCTGGCCGACGATGCTCGCCATGGCCGAGGCACCGTTAGTCGATGTTTTATGTTTTTATTCGCGCCTCAATAGTGAGCCCATAAAAATTCCGAGCCTTTTGTGCACCGGCCGGCATGTACGCTACTCCCCCCCCCCCCAACCCTCTCTCTCTTGTTCTCTCTCCCTCTCGGCGGCCATTTTCTTTAACGCTTCCTTGCCCGCGCTGCAACGACGCTACCTGCACCCGAATATTCATCGCGGAGGTGGAACTACACCAGTTGCGCTGTCGCGTCCCCCCTCTCTCTCTCTTTCTATCTCGCTCTCCTCCCCAAACAGCCGCGGGCAACTTGCGGTGGAAGTTACAGTCTCTCACTATCGACTTTTTCGTTTCTTGACTAAACGGAGAAAAAACAATAGGGGCCGCCGCTGGCGCTTGGAGCGCCAAGCGCAATTGCAGGTTGGGGACTAAAGTAACGTGACAGAGGAATTCGCTGCAGGCTGGGAGGACACTCGCTTGTGGCCAGCATGTGTGACTCGATGAAGGATTTCATGATCAGACCGAACATAAAAGAGTGGTTTAGTTAATTGTCTGCTTTGCAAAGGAGCAAATTTTGTCATTTTTGGTACCTTTGTTCTGTCCACAGCGCGTGCGTCTCGCGGTGCCCGCCGCGCAGCTACCTCTCCAAGGACGCGTCCTGCCTGCCGTGCCACGAGTCCTGCGAGACCTGCGCGGGACCGGGCCAGGACTCGTGCCTGTCGTGCGCGCCCGCGCACCTCCGCGTCACGGACCTGGCAGTGTGCCTGCAGCAGTGCCCCGACGGCTACTTCGAAGGTGAGTGTGTCGCTGGGGGAAAAAAGTTCGAAGTCGGCGAAATTTCGCTCGTGTGACCCCACCAATGGATTCCTCGTCCGGAGAGTAATCCATTGGTGGGGTCACACGCTCGGTTCGAGTCCCATTTGGCGACTCTGGAGCTCCAAACGCGTGTGGAATTTTGGCCGCTCTCACCGGTCTTCTGGCCCACTGTGCTAGCGGATAGCGTGCTCACTGCACCGTGCTGCCCGCGCCCGTTTTCCTGTTGCCGCGTCCGACTCATCAAAACCGGAAGTTCCAAGCGCGTTTCCGCAGCGCCCTTGGCTCTTCAATGTCAAACAAAATGTTTGCATTTTTGTTAAAGTTATTTTTTCTGCCGGCAGACTCGGAGCGCGGCCTGTGCATCCCCTGCGCCTCCAACTGCGTGTCCTGCTCCGACCAGCCCGACCGCTGCACCTTCTGCGCAGAGCGACTCCTCATGCACGACTCGCGCTGCTTCGCCGCCTGCCCGCCGGGGACCTTCAACATCAGCCTCGACAGGTGAGTCGAGCCTCGAGTTACCAAAAAAACAAATCAAGGACGGCAAAATGAAGCGACTAGATTGTGGGCAGCGATTTTTTTCTTTTTTTTTTGGAAGAGCCTCTGCGGTGTCGGTGCGTCTTGAGGTTTACCCACTTTGCCCCGCGTCATCGTCGCCTTTCCTTCGAGTCGCTTGACTGGCGCCACGGCCCCTCCTCCTTCTGGTGTACTTTGTGGCGGCTGAGGTCCTTTACTCTGCAGCCACGTGGTCTCACACACACACACACACCACTCTCTTCCAGCAGACATCGACGCGTCCGCTTCCTTTATTTTTCCAAGCGGTTTGAAAGCTGCTGCTTCAGGAACACCTCACACACACACACACACACACACACACACACACGCACACAGCGACTCAGCAGTGGTTTTTTTTCTCCGGCACCTCGGGGTTTTACACCCTCGCCCCGCGTTCGCCGCGTGCGGCTTGGTGTGCGGCGGCCCCGGTGACATCGGCAACGCGTCACATCAGGACGGCAACATCGGCTCATTCTGCGTGCGTGTGTGTGAGTGTGTGTGTGTGTGTGTGTGTGTGTGTGTGTGTGTTGTGTGTGTGTGTGTGTGTGTGTGTGTGTGTGTGCGTGTGCGTGCGTGTGTGTGCGACGAGGGCCGCACCCCTACTCTGTCCTGATGCGCGCCGCTCGTAGCCTCTCGGAAGTGGGAACACATTTTATAGTCGGCAATGAAATCCGTCCGCTGGCTCCGCTGGCTCCGCTGGTGCGGTGCGCGGTGCCGCTTGCGCGCGCCTCGCCTGCCGCCCCGCCGGGGCTGGCAGACAGGCGGCCTGGCGGGCTGGCAGGCACGGCCTCCACCTACCGCGGGAAATTCAAATCACAGGACTACTTTGCGGCTCCTCGCCAAACTCACGACATAAAGTCCCCCAGGGAGAGCCGCCGCCAGCGAGGCCGCCAGCACGGCGCAGCACGCCACATCGCGACGCCGGGCGGGGCGGGGCGGGGCGGGGCGGGGCTGGGCGGGGCGGGGCGGGGCGCGGCGAGAAACCGTGACGGGGATGGTCTCGTCGGGTCTCGTCCTGCTTCTGAGCTACCGCCACCACCCTTTACCCCCCTCCCCCCGTTTCTGCTTCCGCCCCTCCTGCCCCTCGTCACTCTCACTGTATAATGGGGCCTCCTGGCGGGGCGGGGCGGGGCGGAAGAGGCGCCGGGGGCCCCACAAGGCCCAGCCAGCCGCTGCCGCGCTCCGCTCCGCAGGCTTCCCAGGCTTGCGATTCGCGAAATCACGCCAATTCAGTCCGTTTGCAATCGCACACGCATTCACCGCCCCGGCGCGCCGCCTCGCCTCGCCTTCCCAGCCACCTTGCCTAGGCTGCAGCCGGCAGTGTGTGTTCCAACAAGAATGCGGCTCGCAGCGTGTGTGGGGAGAGAGAGGGGGGGGGGGGTGGGGGGGGTTCACCAGCGGGTTCTATCCCTTCCCCCTACGTGGTCAACGTCGCTACTTTTGCCATTGAAACTCTTCGGCGTGGCAGAGAGGCGCGGTGGCGGACTCGTAGACACACAGAACAATCTTCCACATGTTGATCCCCCCACGTCGCTTTTGCCTGTTCGCTGCTGTTCGCGCGGAATGCCGATTGCCGCCGCTTGCCGCGTTGTGACTGCTGGGTGTGTGTGAGTAGGGGGGGGGGGGGGGGGGGGGGGGTCAGCCTCTTCCGAATTCAAACCGGATGCAAGTATGGTATGGCCGGACGCGTGCCTTCAATGAAACTGGAAAGTGGAGGAGAGAGAACAATTTCTCTTTTTTTTTTCGGGAACAAGAAGTGGGAAGGTTGAGCGCGACGTTTCTCGCGCTGCAGCGGTCTGCCTTCCGATTAGTTTGGTTCCCGCGAACAGGGACGGAGGAGCGTGGGCGGACGGGGGAACATGCATGGGGCGCTGCAGCGGGGCGAGGGTCGGCCGGAGGGCCGGCGACCTACATCGCGAGATGAGCCGGTGGATGTCTGAGGGCACGAGGCCGCGTGGGGCACCGCCGCCCCGCCACCACATCCACACCTCGGCCAGCCCTCCCCATCCCCCCCCCTTTCCATCGGGAGACAAAAGGCCGGTAGAGAGAAGAGCCCGTCCCGAACAAACGTCCTGCGGCCTGCTCAAGTGGGGGCGGGGGCGGCGTGGGGTCGCGCCGGGGGGGGGGGGGGGGGGGGCAACACTTGAAATATTCAGGTCGAACGGGAGAGCCTGCATCTGTCTGACCACCGCACACCGTGGGCTTGAGGGCCGAGGGGTGAAGTGGAGGCCGGAGGGACTGGGGGCAGGGGGCAGGGCCACCACACCACAAAGCGCTCCAAATCTGCTGGCCTGCGGGCCGCCCCGCCCCGCCCCGCCCGCCTGAAGGAACCCGCTGCGTTCTCCCCCCACCCCTTCCCCCCGCGCCAACGCCTCTGCCAATCGGCCGGCACCAATCATACGGTAAGCCCGGCGGGGGGCCGGTCGGAAGCTTTCATCAGCAGACTGATTCCGAGAGTCGTCGCTCTGTCTCTCTCGCACTCACGGCGCGTCCCGTGTTGGTGCGAGAGAGACAGAGCGACGAAAACGACTCTGGCCTTGGCCTGCCTTGCCCGGCCTCGGCGTCTGGAAGAAATTTGGCCAGCGAGCCAAGGACACGCCCCGGGCCGCCGGGCCGCCTCGCGAGGCCTGCGCGCCGCGCCTGCGTTGTATGACCGCATAACAGCCAACGGCGAGGCCCGGCCCGGCCCGGCCGGAAGGATGTGTGTCGCGTCGTCACCACCCGCTTGCTAAAGGCCCGCCGTATAGGCCGGGGACTAGGCCGGGGCACCAGGCCAGGTCGGCAACGCACTTTGCGGTGTGTCGGAGGCAACGGCGCACGAGGGAAGGACAGCGGTCCTTAGCTAGCTAGACGGAATTTTTTGGGGCGGGTGCTTTTTGTGTTGCATTTTTTAGCAGAGTGACTGGCAAGCAAAGCTGTACGAGCACAGCAAAACTCGCTGCCGTGAGGTGCGTTAGTGGAGGCATTCCCACAGTGTAGATGCCGCGTCGTTCTCAAAGTTGCATGGATATGAGGGGGGGAGCGGGGCGGGGCGGGGCGGAGCGGGCTTGCGGGGGGCCTTTATGCATGATAAAAGTGCGGCGGGCATAAACAACCCGGCCATCCCGCTCCGTCCCGCGGCAGAGCCGTCCCTTCATGCGATTTGGCGCCATGTGCATACCTGCGTCCGTGCCACGCCGCGCCACGCAACGCCCTTGCAAGCCGTGCCTCTATGCCGGCAGTAGCCATTGCTTGTGTCTGCTTCTACCTGCTTTACGGGGCGAATGCAAAAATCTGGCTGGGGCGGCACCGCGTGGTGCATTTCTGTGCCCCGGGAGAGTATGTGTGTGTGGCGAGCGAGGGGGCAGAGAGAGAGAGAGAGAGAGAAGAAAGGAGGCAGAACGAAGCTTGACAGAGAGGCACGTGGACGGGAAGTGGCGACTCTCCTTTTCAAAACTCATATAGTGTATACCTCGCCCGCTCCACGTGTTATTCGGAGCGCGCAGCGCAGCAAAGTCCGCTTCTATATAAGTAATCCACGCACAGGTGCAGACGGTCGGACAGACAGACAGACAGACAGACATGAAGGCAGACGGGCATAACTGAAACGCAAGCGTAGCAGTGGGTGGGGAGGCGGGAAGTAACCGTAGGCCAGAGCACTCTCGAAACCTTGCAAACTATATTTTAAGCCTTACAAAAATAAACTTGAATATTTTTTTTTCATTTTTTTCTACAATTATACCTAAGCTTTGTGAAGAAAATAAATGAAAAATTCTTATTGTAACGAACTAAATAGTCCTACCTTAAAAACACGTAAGTTTGAAAAAAAGAAAAATTGTTGTAGTTAGATGCATTGTCTTCGTGGAGCATGAAACACTTAGCGAGAATTTGAGAGTGCACCTGCCGGTGAGCTGCCATGCCCCCTCCGACGCGGGCGGGTGAAGGCACAGGAAACACGCCGCGTGCCGCCGCGCGTGGCACGTGAAGCGGGGCGTACCTAGGGCCGGCCAGACAGTCGGAAAAACGGGCGGGGTGGAGACGCGGGGCTCCAGGCGCGGGGCTGGTCCACGGGGCGACCTAGGGGGAGACAGTGAGAGAGCGCCCCGGGCGCGGTGGGTGGCCTGACGCGGGGGCCCCAGCCGTTTCACCGCCGGTGCCGTGGCGTGCGTACCTAGGGCCGGCCGACAGTCGGAAAAACCACTTTGCTTATTCGCGGGGCTACGGCGCGGGGCACTGACGACACCCAACGGCACTAGACAGCGACACACGGGCGGGGTGAGACGCAAATCTCCAGCGCGGGAATGAAGGGGGATGAGGAGCGGCAGAGTGGAAAAAGGCGAGGTGGGCGCCGGGCCCCCTCGGACTCCAGCGCGCTGCCATGCAGCGGGAGGCACACGCTGCCGCCGGCGCGTGCCCTGCCCGTGGGCCCCCGGCCGTCCCGGCCTGCCTGCTGCTGGCTGTGGCCGGCCCGCGGCCCGCCGCCGCCTGGCCTGGCGATTTCGATGAGGGTTCATACGCGCTGCCTGGCACACACACACACACCACGCACAACTAACACACACACGCGCGGTGAAACATTCGCTGCAAATCTTGCACCCCGGAAGAAAAAGAAGAGGAAGGAGGAGGAGGAGAAGGTGAAAAAGCGAGCTTCGATTGGTGCGCCGCCGGCCGCTCGGACTGGCAGCGCGCCTGCCATGCAGCGGGCAGGCAACACGCTCGACACGCCTGCGACGCTTTGCCTACCTCGCAGGCGCCTCCCCGGCCCGGGGTGCCCCGGCCCGTGCCTCCCGGCTGCCGGCGTGGAGTGGCCGGCAGGGGGCGGTGCCGCCGCCGTGGCGGGGGGAGGGGGAGGGAGGGGGAGTGGAGACACTCGTGGAAAGGCTGCGGAAATGGCTGAGCGGCGGGGGGCCATCCTCATCCCATTTCAGGCCGTGCCATCGCCCCAGTCTCCGTCCGTAAAGTTTTGAATTTCCACTCGTCTTCCTCCTCCCCACCTGCCCCCCCCCCGCCCCCGCCCCGCCCCGCCCCGCCCCAGCGGGCTGGCCGGCGCCCCTCCGCCGCCACAGAGGCTCTTAAGTTGACGAAATTCCGCATTTTAGGGCGTCTGCATCCTCGCGCGGCGCGCGCTGGGAACGACGACGGTGGAGGCGGCCAAAACTCTAGACGCGTTTTGAGCTCCAGAGTCGCTAAGCAGGACTCGAACCGACCGTGTGACCCCACCAATGGATTCCTCGTTCGGAGAGCAGTCCATTGGTGGGGTCACACGCTCGGTTCGAGTCCTGTTTAGCGGCTCTGGAGCTCAAAACGCGTGCTGCATTTTCGACCGCCTCCGGCTCACTGTGCGATGAACGCTGAACGCCTTGTTGCAGGTGCCAGGAGTGCCACTCGTCCTGCGACACGTGCGCGGGCCCCGACGAGACGCAGTGCATCTCGTGCCCGGCGGGCCGCTACTTCCTGTCCGGGACGTGCCTGCGCGGCTGCCCCGAGGGCTGGCACCCCGACAAGCACGCCCAGGAGTGCGCGGCGTGCGCCCTGGGCTGCACGCTCTGCACCAACTCGGGCTGCCTGGTGTGCGCGCAGGGCTGGGTGCTGGGCCCCGAGGGCCGCTGCAGCCGCGAGGGCTCGGGCCGCTGCAAGGACGGTGAGTACAAAACCAAAGCGTCGCAAATTTTTTTAGGGGTTCCCACGAACCCCTATTGTCCGAGGTCCGTAGATTCTCCCCCCCCCCCCTCTCCGATTTTCAAATAAACAACTCTAAACTATTTCAACCATGAAAAAAACGAAAATTCCAATTTTTTTCGAAAATTCATCGTGGAAATTTTCCGTAAACGCGAAAAACATAAATTTGCAACAATCGAAAACGAGAACCGTTAATGATATGAAAAAATGGTTCAAATAAAAAATGTGCCACTCCTCAAAACTAAACCTCCTGGCTCATCAAAGTAACAAGAAATCGTATATGTTCTGACCAAATGGTCAAAACATGAAAAAAAATCTCCATGGCAACGGCATGGTCCCATCGTACCACCCGTCAAAATTTAAAGTCGCCCATTTTTAAAAAATCTAAACGCCGTGAAATTTGAAAATGCTAATGCTAACACATTGCACGGTGTCTCAACGTTGGAACATCTTTAAAGTCTGTCACTACTAAAAAGTTCGTAGCAGAAACGACGCATCAAATTAATTTTCGTGGGTTGGCACCAATATGCTTCCCGTCTGCGCCCTTTCGAAAATCGCGAGGCTGAAAGAACGAACAGGCGCCCATTGAAACTGCCCCTCCATTGTTGCTGAGGTTGGATTGTTTGGCATGCTCTCAAAGGCTGCGGTTGTCTTGTCATGTTTTCCTCGATTTTCAACCAGTTATGGAAACGGGAACACCGTGCAATGCGATTAGCATTGGAATTTTTTTTCGATGCGGCGACTCGTAAATTTGCCAAAGTAGTTTCTTTGTGGTTGTTTCTTTGTGGTCAACATCATTGGTAAAGTCATACAATTTTCTGCGCAGAGCTTAATAATTTTTTTTTTTGTTTATTATTTTTTGTACGGGTATTAAGAACTGTTGTTTCTAATAAATATTATTTTATGAATTTTTTGTAGTGTTTTTTTTTGTTTTACGGGCAGTTTAGCCCTTTTTTTTGTTTTGACACGGGATAACTGAGAAGTTTTTCACCACGGTTCGACTCCTCCTCCCCTTGCATTGACTTTGTCGCGGTGGTCGCTCTGCGCGGTGCGACGCGGTGCGACGCGGGCCGTGTTTCGGTCCAACTAAACTTCCAACTCATTGCGCCCCGCCTTCTGCTCCACGGCGGGGAGCACGGTGACGGACTGGTGGCGCGCAAAACAGGTTTACCAACAGACAAAAGCAGTGTCGGTGACACCGCCGCCCCGCGTCGTCATGGCAACGCCGGCAACGCGACGTGGGGGCGCGACACTGTAGTAACCGGAGAACTATGGCAGCGAGAAGGGGAGACGCAAAGGCCCGGCCGAAGCAGAATGTGCTGGCGTGGGCGTTGTGGGCCATATGCGTGTAGTTTGCTGTGTGTGTGTGTGAGGGTGGGTGAGTGAGTGTGTGTGACCACTACTGCCCTTTTGAGCAAGCACTAGGCGCAAGGTCGCTAGAGCGGGGGGGTTGGTGTACAGAATAAAGGGACCCGCCCCCCGTTTCGCAAAGAGTTTACCATACGGCCCGACCGGGAGGAGGGGGGGGGGGCTCCTCGACTATCCGTTTCATAAATCTGTGCTGAACGTTGGCGGCGATGGGATAGGACGGCTAGCACGACCTGACGCCGCCATTTTCGCACCCTGTTTTCCCACAGTGTAGGCACGCCTGTCGTTGCTAGGCAGGCCCGTCACTCAGTTTGTCTACCTTTCAGGGGGTGCAGTGCAGCCGCGGCTCTGCTGCTCTTTTTCTTTTACGTCGATGACGTGAAAAATAGATTTAAAAAAAAAAAAAAAACTGTTCTTGCTGTCGTTCTTAAAAAGACCTGGTGCGGAGGATTCGGTTGGGGCAGGTTGTGTATTACGCTCAAGTTGAGTCGACGATGGGTTTCCGAGGAAAAGAAAAGGGGATTCGCCTGGAAATGAAAGGAGCGACGGGGAAAAAAGGAGCGTGAGACAAAAGTGGGTGTGGGACGGGAAAAGGGTGGGGGGAACAGGACACGGGGATATTACTTGTGTGGTAACATGCTTCAGTCTGCTGCTCACAGAACGTGGGATATGAGCTGTCTCGAAAGGAAATGTGTGTGGGTGTGCGTGCGTGGGTGTGCGCGTGTGTCGCGGTGGGGCGGAGCGGGGGAGTCGAATTCAGAGGTTCGGGTGGAGTTCCATAGCGATAGCTTTTCCGCCGGGTACGTGGAAACGGATCGAAATGAATGCCGATGCTGTCCGATTGTCAATATTATTTTTGACTCGGGAAACAAATGTCGGTTCTCCGCGCGGCGCGTCTTCTCGCTGTTGCACCCTGACCCCTCGGGGAATAAATAACAAAAAGGGCTCATCCCAGTTTCCATTTTGTTCAACATTTTATTTCTTTTTTTTTATCAGTGTAGCGTTGATTTCTCGCTCTACGCCCAGCTTATTTATGTGTCCCCCGTCATGCTTTCATATTTCACGGGCGGGATGCCCAGGCCGACGTCGAGGGGGAGGGGGGATTGGGAGACAGCCACCCTGCCATCGACACACTCGCAACATACATAACGTGAAACATTGCAGCGCGCGTCGCAAAAGCCAGACCAATTTTAGAGGAATTTTGCAAAAGAATGAAACGGAGGGTACAGCTCGAGGTCCTTTTCTCGCAGATGCGATTCCTGGATCGCACAGTATTGATGTTGAAAACAACGAGTGTTCCGTGGAACCCCCATTCGTAGAGCGGAGCCCAAAACGACCTCACGATTCCGGTTTACTCGCTGGTTTTCCCTTTATTTATGACACTCCACCTGGGTAAACCAAGAAAGAACGCCCAATGAAGACACTCCACCGCCGCCCCTTGCAGCACCCTGCGGTACGTGCCTGCGAGGTACGCCCTAGTGTTAACGCCGATGTTTTGATTGGTTTTGTGGCGAGGCGCGCTGACAGGACCGCCTCGGCGGAGGACGCAGTACACACAGCGACGCGCGCACACAGCTGTGCCCGGGGATATTTTACCCGGCGACCGAAATTGATTTCGGAGCGCGCGCGGTCGTTACGTCTGCGTGTGATTGCCGGCCAGGCGGTCCGACGAACCAACCGCCCATCGATAGTGAGGAAGCGATCACTTTTCCTCTTGACCTCCGCATTGCTCGACCAAAAACAACAACAACAACAACAACAACAACAAACAATGGTGTCAGGAGTGCCGCATACGGCATATTGAAGCGGCACTCGAACAACGGACTGCAATGGCACCGCACGTGCGTACCACACCACACGGTTTTGTAAAAGCACGGCCATGAGTGAGCTCACGAAGAGCTAGAAAAACTTGGTTTCAATTAATCGGAGTAAAACCACATCCAAAATTCAGGATTTAAAAAAAAAGATGCAGCAGATTTTTTTTTTGCGTTTACAAGAAGAGGCTCGCAACAATTTAAGTGAGCGGTGTAAAATATTTTCTAGCGCTTCGCTGTGTGAGGCAAAGCAACCGCCATCGTGGCTGTCAGTAAACAGGCGGTGACGTGCGGAAAAACTCAGACAAAGACCACCAGGAGGGCGCGTGGCGGCGCGTGGCGACCGGACGGGGCAGGGGGGGGGGGGGGGGGGGGGGGGCACCCCGCCTGGAAGGCGGCAAGGGTGCAAAACTTAAACAAATGGCCGAATGGGGGGACACTGTGCCTCCTGCGGACTGGAAGGGCGCCTGGAACGCTGGAGCACTGGAAAAGGAGCGTGGCGGTAAACAATGTCCCGACGCTTAGTTAATGAAATTAAAGGCTAGCGGCAACTCGACGTAATCAAGAAAGTGGCCTGGCCTGCATCCATCAAAAGACCATCGGGAGGACGGCCGCTTCCCCTCCCATTTGCATCTTCCGCTCCTTCCAGTGCCGCGCCTTCTAGTGCCGCTCCCATGACAAACGCATTCCTCGCCGGCACGGCCAGACCGTCGCGTTTCGCCATTTTTGAAGGCTGTTGTTGTGGGGCCGTTGATTGGAGCGGAGGCGGCCCGCTCTTCGGTCGGCGACTTCCCCGGTCGCGAATCCGAATAACTTCCCCGCTCCAGCGGACGGCTGGAATTCGTCTGCTTCTCCGTCCACTGGGATGGCCTGCTTTGGTGCTAATTTGAGTTTCCGCCTCGCTGGCTTTGGTCTTGGGGACTCCATAGGCTCCAGCGTTCCTTGAGTGTCACCTGCTGGCCCTGGCGGGCAGGCCGGCCCGGCTGGCACTCTGGAACTGGTGGCCCGCAGGCTGGCAGGGGGGGTCGTGCGGTCAGTCTGTGTCCCTGAGAGTAGAAGAGCGGGCTTAAGGGGGTTAAAGGGCATGTTTAGCTTTGAGCCCAAAGATCTGGCCAGGAGGGCCAGGTGGGGTCCAGCCCGTGGGCACGCCGGCCAGTCCACTGCGAGTCCGCCGCCGCACCGACGACCCCTAGATCAAAGGCGTGCGGTTCGGACGCTTGACACACAGGTGTATCGAGTTAGGCCCTCTGTCAACCCCCTCGTCAAAGAGGCTCTCTCTTACGCCCTTAGCCCTCCATCCGGCGAAGGACCGCGAGGCCTGCCTCACCACTGCGTGGCCAGCCCGCGTCTGATTGGACACCTGGTCCGGCCGCCGATCGGATATCATCGGATATCTGTCCCTGCCCATTAGGACGCATGTGGCCCTGGCCTGGGCGGGGTGGGGCTGCGGTCGTTGGGGGGCGCCTGCCGCAACTCATTTAGCGGAGGCGTTTTGCCATTTCCATGCGCAAGTGGCGGGCCTGGCGGGCCTGGCGGGCCTGGTGTGAGACTGACGCCTCGGGTCCGGCGGCACGGCCCGGCCATGCCCGCCATGGCGTGCCCTCGCCCTCGGGTCCCCGAGGGTGCGGTCCCCGCCGTCCCGGCCGTCCCCGCCGTCCCCGCCGGTCCCCGTCAGCCTGCGGACCACGCTTTGTGCGGAAAGGCGGAAAGGGGGGGGGGGGTTCAAGATTACCGCCCTGCCTGCGCCGAAGGCCCGGCAAGGGAAAGGGCCGCACCGAAC